CGACAAGAGCACTCGTCTTACGGTCTTATGCCTGAATGTTACCTCCCGCATAGTGTGGGGAACCCTTTGAATTGACGGCACTTGGGCGTTGGTGGGGACGTCCATGGTGGAGTTGGCAGCAAAGATCTTGGCTAGCACTTCCGCCTTGGCCTTTGAGTCGAATACAATAGTTCCATCCTGACACGTAAGTGGTGGAAGGCTACTGTGTGAGAAGTTCTTTTCAATCTGCTTGGCCAGCGTCCAGAAAGACCGACTGCCATTGCGCTGTGACATTACCCTGTGCCTAACTTTTATATCATGCTGGGTTTTGGCATTGCGAACCGCTTCGTTATATTTGTTTCTGGACTCGACGTCGGCTTGTCTGTTCTCTACAGTGGGGTTTTGTAAGTAGGTTCTGTGGGCCTTGATCTTCTGCTGGCGAGCAGTGTCACACGATTTGTTGAACCAGCCGTTGGACCCTGGTTTAGGAACTTTCACTGTGTGAGGGATGTATTCCTCCATTCCGACGTGGATAATTTCGGTTATTGAAGAACAGACAGTCGACGCATCCGCGTCAGTGTAGCAGACATCTCTCCAAGGAAAGCTAGAGAAGAAGTCTCTGAGCCCCTCCCAGTCGGCATGTCCGTAATGCCAAGTTTTGCGGCCTGTGCGAGTTTCTGCGGCCACAGCGGCTTCTGACCGAAACCTAACCTCCACAACACCGTGATCTGAGTTACCCAGGGGGGACAGGACGGCAGTGCTGTAAGGGGCAGGATGCGTGGTCAGAAAGAGATCCAGCAGGCTACTGGCGTGTGACGAGACGCGGGGGAAAAAAGTAGGGCTCGTCACCAGCTGGGTCAGCCCTTGAGTAAGAGCGAACGCTTCGACTGCACGACCTGCTGCATCTGTCTTATTTGAGCCCAACCAAAGCTCATTATGGGCATTGAAATCACCGAGAAGAACTACCTCTGAAGCGGGGTGATTGATGTTCAGGAAGTCGATCTGGACGGCGAGGTATTCAAGTAGGTCATCCCAGTTACGGTTCGAGGGAGAGCGATAAAGACAGCAAATAAATTTGGGTGATGTTTCGGAGTTGAGGCGAAGCCACAGAATGTCCTTCCGGTCTGATTCCAAAGAAAGATCCCTGGAGCAGGAAAGACTGCTGCGGACAAAAGCCACAACTCCCCCGTTCTTTCTCAGATTGGAGTGCACCTCGTAGTTTGGGAAGTTGAGATGGTTAATCGGTGCAGCCTCTGAGATTTTTGTCTCCGCCAAGAAAAGCACGGCGGGACGATTGGATTGCAGGTAGTGATGAACAGCATCAATGTTGCTGTTGATCCCGCAGATGTTCGAAAAACAAATTTTATCTTCGATGTTGTTCCCTCGAGCCCACCCTCCACCCGGACATTCCGAGAGTGGAGTGAGTTTACGTCCGGAGTTTTTAGTGCTCGAGGGATCCATCATCATTAATTTCTTTGTTTTGGTAGATAACCGACTGCATAGCTTAGGTGTGGAAACATGCGGACATTTATAAGACACCCTGGGAAAAGCTAGCGGGTGGTACTGCCTCGGTCGACTGGTCCTTGTCTACCACCTTCTTTTTACATATTAGTGATGTTAAATAGACCTAAAGTGGCCAGTTGATAACTATTGAGTACTGCACAAGTTCATACTATTATGGAAGCAGGATTTGTAAAAGAGTAAGTAACAATTTGCAAAAAAATTAACATTCATGCAGTGATGGAATTTATAACTTCAAATCCATCATATACAAGCACGGAAATAAAAGGTGTGAAACTTTAGAAGTAAAGATTTATGCCTACTGCTACATTATCACAAAAAAATGTAAGTTTGCAACAGTTTTTCAGGCTTCTACCATTATGACTGATATTAATAATAATAGACTGCGAGGGTTATTCAAAATTTCAATCTTGTAGAACTCAAATTCTACATTAAGTCCAAAAAAGGACATTTCTACTGGTTTATTTGTCAGTGACACAAATTTCATGAAAAATTCATTAAATCATGGAATTTACAAGGTTTTTGTATTGACTCATTCAATTACAGCTGACTGTAACTTACAACTGACATCTATTGAACTTGTAGCTGACAATTATGGCTTATTGTAAGTTATAACTGACATGTAACTAGCTATTTCAGTTTGTAACTGACAATTTGAAGACTTACTGTCAAAAGACATATCTACAATTCTTGTAAGATCATTACCATTAGATTCACCATACGTCATCTTCTTTAGTGTCAAAAAATGGAGTAGCCAAATCTAATCATAGTGTTACCCTCATTTCATAAAAAATTTTAGTGAAATTCTTTGACATTAAATTAAACCCTTATTATCAAATTATAGCAAAATGCAACATATAATTGATGAATCCCCATGCTTGTCTAATGTTAGTCTAGTTATTTACTGAAAATGTTACAAATATATTGTCATTGTACTGAAGGACACGTTTGTGACTGAAACGTTTACAGTAAAGAACATCTGTCAATATGTGGTTTTATGAGGGATGTTTAAGTTTTGCATGTAGAAACATAGTAGGCCGCGCGGATCAAATGTCAGTAGGTACTGAATCTTAACCTCAACTATTTAGTAAACTTAAATTCAAACAATAGGTGCAGTGTTCTCACTACAGTGAATTTTTAAGTGTCAATAAGTCATTAGAAAAAAAAAGTATATTCTTTAATTCTTGGTTGAGCAACCGGTTAGCCAATTTTGCGTCCTTTAATTTCCGCTGGAACGACCGGTTGTACATCAAACTTGTTTTGTTTATCAGTTTTTGACAACTACAGTTTTGTGTGAAAAAATGGAAGAAGAAAAGATTGAAGTTTTTCTACAGCATGGGAGTCGCGTGAAATTTCATGTTTTTTTTCAACACAATTCGAAATAAATAGAGCATCTGAAAGCAAGTGAATTTGTTTTGAATTATGCATATCGACGATCTCAAATCAATACCTCGTAAGTCCAAAAATGTCGATTTTGTTCCTGTATGAAGAAAGAAAATCCATGTCGATGGTTCTTATTCGGAAAGCATCGACGATCTCAAATCAACGCCTCGTATTGATTTGATATCGTCGATATCTGAAAATTTCTTGGTTTTCTGATTTATAGTTATATTGATTCTCGGAGCGCAAATTCTCTCCGCTGGATAACTTCTTCATCCGAATCATTACTCGAATCGCTTAACAAACGTTCCACGATAATACCAACTGCTGCATATGTTTTAAATGATACGGTGTTCAAATTAACAAGTATCTATTTACGATAAAACAAAGGTTATGTTTTCTCATATGACAGCAACCTGAAGGCTAAAATGCGTCTTTTTACCAATCAACGGAACCGGTTGCCGACGTCATCACATCAGCTGCCAACCATAAGCTCACCGGATCCATCAGTGATGGAATCAACCGGTGAATTAAAGAATATACCTAAATGGAACTCAACCGAGAACATTTTCGCGCCATAATTTATTACAACTTTCAGAGACAATTATCGCAACAAGAATGCCTTGTTGAGTTAGAGTTACTGTCCGTTTTCGGCAACGAAGCGACCCATCAGTCGGCAATTTCCCGTTGGTATGGAGAATTCAAACGTGGATGGGTGAGTTTTAGCGACGATCCCAGGGTGGGTGCACCAAAAACGGCAGTCACCCAGGAAAACGTCGATGCTGTGCACAAACTCATCATTGAAGATAGACATGTGACATATCGCGAGATTGAGGCGTCCTTGAAGATCTCAAAGACCTCAATTCAACAAATTTTACATGAAGAATTAGGAGTAAGAGAATTAGTTTCTCGTAGGATACCCCACCTGTTGACTGAAGAGCAGAAAGCAGCCAGGGTTAATTGGTGTCAAAAAACGCTTGACCGTTTCAATTCCGGAAACTCAAAAAATGTATACAGCATTGTTAGTGGTGATGAATCGTGGATTTACCGTTATCAACCAGAAAATAAATGACAGTCGGCTGTTTGGGTGTTCCAAGGTGAAGAAAAGCCAACAAAAGTCATCTGTTCTCGAAGTGTTTCGAAAAAGATTGTCGCGACATTTGTGTCAAAAGCGGGTCATATTGCACCAATTCCTCTTAATGAGCAAAGAACTGTTACTGCGGATTGGTATACCACCATTTGTTTGCCAAAAGTCATCACCGAGCTTCGAAAAATCAACCCCGAAAGACGAATCATCCTCCACCAAGACAATGCAAGCTCACACACAGCCCAAAAAACAAGGCAGTATTTAGCGGAAGAAAATGTGGAATTGTTGGACCATCCTCCATATAGTCCCGATCTAAGTCTTAACGATTTCTTTACTTTCCCAAAAATTAAAAACAGACTGCATGGTCAAAGGTTCCAGTCACCAGAACAAGCAGTTGACACATTAAAAAAATGCTGTTTTGGATCTGTCATCAAACGAGTGGAATAAGTGCTTCGAAAATTGGTTCGAGCGCATGCAGATTTGTACTAATCTTTGTGGAGAATACTTTGAAAAACAATAAAGTCATTTAAAACTACCTACCATGTTGTTTTATTTCCATATGCAAAACTTAAACAACATCCCTCGTATTGGCCAGAAAGGCTTTGGAGCTTATCGACGTAAACCACAGTATAAGTTTTGGTTGTTATTTTAACCAAAGGTAATTATAATTGACAAATGCAACTTTGAGCTTCTGCAAAATGCTAAAAGGTTTTGTTAATTGATTATTATCTGTTTGGTATTCCAGTTTGTTTTATAAATGACAAAAAGAAGCAAAAATGAGGTCATTTGAGTACCTCTAGTGATACTGTTACTGCTGGCCTTTTGCCCAAACCATTTTTTAAGAAGGTATTTTGTCAACAAGTTAAAAAAGTTGAAGTTGAAGGCCCTTTGTATGTGTCTGAATATGATTTTACAGTCAATTTGCAACCCATTTGTTTCCAAGGGTCTCTAATGATGCAAAAACTCTTCTGCTTGATGGCCATTTCAAATCCACGGATCAGTAGGAGTACTATAATAAAGATAACATATTTACCTAAAGAGGCCAACATGTCGTGGAGGTCTTCCTTATCTACGAAACCATCGTGGTTTTGGTCGATCATATTGAAGGCTTCTTTGAATTCCGCTATCTGGGCTTGGTCGAACATAGCAAAAACGTTCGAAGTGGCCCTTTGGGCACGCTTCTTGGTGGTCCCACGACGGCTTACAGTTTTTCTGGAAGACATTTTTGCTGTTTCTTTGTTAAAATCCAAAGGTTGATCTGCTACACCCAATTTTTTCTGCTGATTCTTTTATTGCTGATAGACAACAACCAAATGTCGATGAGTCAATTAACGACAACGACCGATAGTACGTCACAGTTGGGAATGTTACCATTTACGGTGATATTTTAACTGGGTCACCGTATGTGAATATTTAAAAACTTATTTTCTCTGAAACGATGCTATGCCTTCAATACAAACATTTTTCTCACAAATAATATTGAAAATAAACCTCTGTTTGTAATTTTCAAAGAGAAAAAATATTTTTTTCGAATACTGGTAACTTACTTTTTTTAAATGTATGTTGGTAACGGTAAGATAATTAGATAATTACATAGATGGGCGTGGTTTTAGCGGTCAAAATATATCACGTGATTAGTAATCTTTTAGGCAGTTGGATTATCTGGCGAAGGAGATTTTAATCCACAGAATCATCTGTGTTTCGACTTTTGGGGCTTCCACTTGTCAATTGTCAAGGATGACAAATTTGTTTCTTAAATTTTTGTGCCCTGTGCCCTGTCTTTTCAAGTCTTCGTGATGGCGAAAGAAGTGTGAAAAGATAATTATTTCAAATTAAAAGCAATGGTATCTCCAAAGGCGGTATTGGGAATTTGTGCGGGAGTATCGGCAACCCTATTCATAGGTTACTGCATATACTTTGACAAACAAAGGCACAATGATCCCGACTTCAAGAAGAAACTACGCCAAAGTGAGTACTACATGAACTGAAAAAGGTTAGGATGTTGTAACAGAGCGTTTCAATTTTAGGACGCAGGGCAAATAAGGCAGCTGCATCATCTGGTAAACGCACAAACACAGTCTTTCCGGATATGAAAGATCATGAGGCAGTACAAAGGTTCTTCCTGCAAGAGATCCAACTTGGAGAGGAGCTACTGGCTGCAGGAGACCTTGAAAACGGCGTGGACCACTTGGGCAACGCTGTTGCAGTTTGTGGCCAGCCCAACGATCTCCTCCAAGTCCTGCAGCAAACGCTACAACCTAATGTGTTCCACCTCCTGATACAGAGACTGCCTGCAGTTGCTCCGCGACTTATGAAAGCACAAAACAGTACTTCGCTGCAAGATGATGATGTAGAGTGATGATCATAGTTGCCTTTACTAGTCATGTTTGTTAGAACATTATTTCATGTGCTTTGATTCTCAATAATTTACCAAATAATAAATATCGATTGATTCAATAAAGTATGTTTTTTGTATGTTGTGTATTATTGATTTTTGAATGGCCACATTCACTTTTTAGGTGTGTATATATATTTTGTGATTGTGCTATTTGATCAATTAAAAGTTCAGGTTGTTGAGATGGCTTTTTAATTTTAACCTGGGTGACAAGAGGATGTCCCTTATGTGAGAGTACCTTATACCCTATTATAGAACTTCAGAAAGCATTTAAAAGTCTTGAAAAAACTTCACAAATTGGGAAATTAGAATTAGTAATGTTTCATCAAGAAATGTTGCATCATTGTTCTGATATCTCAATCAATTACATGTTAAAAGTACTTGAGAAATTGTAGACTAAACAAATGATCTATATAATTTTCTTACTTTCAGAATTTAATATACCATATGATCTAACTTATGACACTCATTGCTTGTGCTGATCTCTTGTTCATAATTCTTTATTTAAGCAGGAGAATTTTGAAATATTGTGCTGCTTACCAAAAAGCATTTTTTTGTTTTGGAAACAAATCATTTCAATAGTTCTGTTTTCATTCAGGTCTCCTGTATTTTTTATTCAAATGTTAGTTTGCTGTTTTCTTAGAATAACTTTTGATGTTATCAGAAACAGTTTGTGATATATCACTGAAATCTATCATATAATGTCTAATATAATTGTAGGTTCTTCTGATCAAATAAGACAACATACATAGAAAATACTCTTTACTGATGTTTCAGCCAGTAATGTCTAAAGTACAAATCAAAATGACAGTTTAATGTTTAATTACAGAATGATCTTCCCGGAAACCACACTATCGCGATCACCCTATACAAAAAAGCTACATATTTGCCTAGCCTAAATACAACGATTCCTACTGTCTTCGCTAGTAGTTCATTTGTGTCGCACTATTGATAGATGAATGGAGTGGCAAATTCAAATATCTGTCAAAATGTCCGGTCAAAGCAGGCTGCGAATCCAAAATGACGTTTTCAAATTCTGAATCACAGATTGTCTGAATATATTGAACTCTATCAACATTTTCAAATTTAGGGGCTGTACCGAGTGTGCACAACTTCTCGACAGGTAATTTTGTTAACTCTTTATAAAGTATCGCAAAATTTTCCGTTTCTGCAAACGTTATAGGGACATATGCGATGGCTTCATCTTCTTTTGCTGAGCATTCCTATTTTTTGACTGAGTTGAACCGGAACGATCCAACAACTAGTCAAGCAAGGAAGGAGCAGATTATAAAATGTACAAACTCCTGCGGAAATATCGTCTCACCAAAATCCAACGTTTCTTGGAGACTTCTACCCTTCTGCAATGAATTCTGCTTATTGGCCTACCAAAAAAGTTTTCCAACAACTTGTAATACATGTAAGGCCATTATACAATCGGACAACTTTGGGAAATACTTTTGTGAATTCAAGGACTGCAACTTTGGTTTTTTCTGTTCTAAATCATGTTATGATAAGTACAATGCCAGTATAAGATTTTGCGTTTTTTGCAGCAAAGTAAAATGCAGCTCTAATAATAGCAAATGGGTTGTAGCAAGTTTGGTACTTAGATTGCAACTCACTTGTCTAACATTTTGTTCACATACTTGCTATACTAGTTTTGCTGCTATGGCAAATGCAACACCAAAACTTAAACATGTACCTCCTAATGTGCAATGTACAGTTTGCAAGTCAACTAATGTAAGTTTAAAATTTGGAGATAAATGCATGGATCAGTATTTCTGTGACAAAAAATGTTTAGCTGCATATGCATTTGTGAGTGCAAAAGGAAAAGCTGCTGAAATGTGTATGACCTGTAAAATTTATTATAGTAAAGATGAAATTTCTATGTATTCAGCATACCATGAAGGCAATGAGTTGGCATTTAGCTCTATAGTTTGTCGCAATGTATATATTATTGCAGAACGAAAAATTGCTCAGTGTAACTGGTGTAAAACAAAGATGTACAATTTCGATATGGTTACCAAGTATGATGCTCAGATCTCTTTGGCATTTTGTTGTTTCAAATGTCAACAGCTGTACCAGGATTCCACTCAGTGTGTGATCCAAATGCCAAAAATAAGTAACAATACTTGTCAGGAACAAACTCTTGCAAACAAGGAAAATTTAGATTTGAATAAAGTCAAAGCAGTTTTGCTCAATAGAGAAAATAGTAATAAATACAGTGCCAAAATAAATCCAATGAGAGCCTGTAGAAAATTGATAAAAACACAAAGGAATGTAGCTACTATGTGTATGATTTCTACTGCTAATAAACACACTTCCACCAAAGTCACTTCTGCAACAAAGAAAATCCAAACGGATCCTCAAATAACTAACACTTTAATACCTGTACCAGTACCTATTTATGTACCAGCACCAGTTGCAATGTTCTCTCTGCCCACACCTGTACCTGTGCTTATTCCAATACCAATTCCTGTGCCTATTTTTCTCCCAACTGTGAGAAATTCCATCAAAGGAATTTTCAAAGAGTTGGAGAGCATCAGAAACAGAACTCCGAATAATATTTATGAAGCTGAAATGCTGCAACTTGCTGGCATTCTTGTTAAAGACCAAAATGACTCAGATAGTGACTTTGTACCTTCTGACAAAGAAGATAAAGAGCATGAGGAACTTGTAGTTGAGCCTGAAGCAAATACAGGTATAACAGAAAGTCTTTTTGACTTTGAATGGGCAATGCCTGATAATGCTACTGAGATACCGCCACCCAATCAAAAACCTCCTGTTCCTGAAAAAGTTAAAAAACGAGCAGCCAAGGATCCAGTAGCAGTAAATGGTAAACGCCCTAAACATGAGGAACCCAACACGAACACTGTTTATCAAATAGATCCATCAGCTTTGTCGGTTAGTGTGAACCAACAAGAAATGAGACTAGACTATACATTGGGTATAAATGCTTGGAAGCAATGGGTGATGAAAAAAACAAGCATTTCGAAAAAGTTCAAATTCAACACGGAAATACTTGAAATGACACCAGAAGAACTCAGTTCTGCATTATGCTTATTTGTGAGGGAGCTCAGAAAACCAAATGGTGATGAGTATGCTCCAGATACTATCTACTATCTGTGTCTGGGTATACAGTATTATCTTGATCAAAACAAAAGACACGAAAATATATTTTTTGATGAGATCTACGATGCATTTACTGACTGTTTGGACGAATTTGCTAAGAAATTCTGCGCACTATATGATGACGAATCTCACTTCATTGTCACTAGAGTAGAGGAAGAGCACTTGTGGGAGACAAAGCAACTCGGGTGTTATTCTCCTTATGTTCTTTTGAACACCCTGATATACTTCAATACAAAGTATTACTATCGTTCTACTGTGGACCAACATGCTGAACTATCTTTCTGCCATATTCTTAAAAGCAGCAAAAGATACTCAAAAGCAAATAGTGTGTTGCTCAGATTTTATCCAAAGTCGAGAAAACCTGGAGATAAAAGGGTTTATGAGCAGCTAGAAAATCCGAATGAACCACTGAGATGTCCAGTGAAGTTGTACGCTTTCTACTTGTCAAAGTGCCCCGAAAGTGTCAAAAATAGGTTTGATATGATGTATCTGACGCCTGAGAAGCACTGTCTATCCGATAGTCCTCTGTGGTATTCCACTACTCCTCTATCAAAGCGACAACTAGAAAAAATGGTTAATCGAGTAAAGATGGTTAAGGAAGTTAATGTTGCTTTATTGACTAATCAGTGATCATTTTTTAAACGCAAAATTTTGTACTGCTCTAATGTTATTTATGTTCAATTATTAAGGAATTAAGTTTTCCAGGAACAAAACTGTTAATTTCCTTTATGTTCGTTATTATGTGACTCTTATATGTAAGTTTTGGGTAATAAATGCATGAAAATTCATATTTGATCGTAGTTGGGTATTAGGCGCTGGGAAGCATTGTTACTATTAGTGAAAAAATGGTGTTAAGTAGACTATTTCTAATCGCATTCGAAACAACACCTAGTAGAATTTTCCGTGAAGTGCAATGGAATCAAAAACACGTGAATTTTGTCAAAAGATTAATACACTATTTGGGCTTTTCATGGAAAAAATCCCGCAGATTGCAGCAATGAGCGTGTTCGTATACGGGAGCCTCGTGTCTGTAGTTCTGGTGTAAAAGTGTTAGTTAACAATGTTTGATCCCTCACAAAATTAAGTAACCTATCAAGTTACACTACAAGTATAATATCGCGCCCTACTTGTATGCGCATATTGTATCACCGCGCAGTCTGCTAACTGCTTTAATGAGTCCCTTGGATCCACTACCAAAGATGAAATATTTACAATACGTACGTAGGTACGTAATCCGTCAACTGAAAAATATTTTTTTTAAGTTCTAAGGGCAAATGGACGGAGAAATCTATTATGTGTGAAATATGTCTAAATATAGGTGCGTGGAATTACCGAAGTTGGAAGTGCATTAACATACTAACATAAAAATTGCGTTGCAGCCTCCCCCACCTCACTACAACCTCCCAAACCCCCAATTTTTTATCCTAGGATATTTTTAAAAAAACGATCAGTGTCATCTAAAAAGTCTAAAACGCCAAAAAATAAGTTTTTGGAATATCATTCTAATCCGCATGGCTATTATGTAGAAAACCTATAAAACGTCGAAAAAAAAAACAACGAAACATCATCATGCAGGCTAGGTAGTTTTAGGGTGCAAATAGTTCATTCCACGTTTGCTCGCTATGATCGCTGTGAGCGTTCATCTATGGAGGAATGACTCAACTACACGCATTGCTTGTTGCAGAATGCAAGTACCTATATGTTTTGTGAAGTCTGTAGTATTTATTTCTGAGAAGTTGTGAAAGAAAGTTGGTTGTGTTTGCAAAAACTGAGTATTATATACCTAGTCTAATCATATTAGCAAATTTCCCCGAAATAATCGTAAAGTCGGGTTTTATTGATGCAGGTTGTTCAAGGGGATATTTAAAACTTGGACTCATAAAAATGGGTACACCAGTTTTTGTGGGAAAACTTTTTATTCGACAACAAAGAATGAGAAAAGATGTTTTTTTGGGATTCGATTGAAAGTGTTAGCAGGAACGAAGAAACTCTTCAAATAAGATTTTTAGGTATTTATGAGACCTACAAAATGAGACCACACGTAAAAAGATTCGACTAATAATAGTAAAAAAAGTTATGGCCGAAAACCGAGGCAAAATGCAGGTTTTGGCACTTGTTGCTAATGTGACGATACTCTCACGCAGCTACTTGAAATTATTCAAATCCGTAGGCTTCGTACTAAATAACCACAACAAAATTGGAGTCGGATTGGTCAAGTAGTTTCTGAGAATATCTAATTGTTTATCCCAAAACACCTGTCTTCCGGGCATCACTACTAGTTTACTGAGCAATATACAGGGTTCATTCAAAGGGCATTTTACACGAATTTACTTTGCCGACGTTATGCGAAAAACGAAGGGTTGCGTTTTTTCTTCTAAACAATTTCAAACATTTCCTATATGTGAGTAACTGAACAGATTCGCTACGATTCGAAAAACATACGTTATTATACTCATTTTAAAACAAATCGGATTTGTCTAACACCTTTATTTGTTACGAAGAAAACAATTTTTTTTTCTAGATTTCTTCATACTCTTTGTGTATACATAATTGGAGCTGAAATTTTTACACGGCCACGGCCTTAAAGTTTACAAAAAAATATTCCATACTGTTTATAAAGTTAGCACGCAAACTGAAGACACAATTGTTTCAAACTGTCTTAGACTAGTTAGTATGTAGCATGTGCAAAATGGCTGCATTATTGATGACTGTATGACTTTGTCAAATAAGTAGGTCACGTAATCCAGTTTCTTTACGAGGATATATAAATCTAAAAGTATTAATATAGTATACGTCTGTTTTCGAAATCTCGTTCGATTTAAAACGACGGCGAGTTTAAAATGTTGGAAAATAAACTCGAGAAAACGAAAAAACAGTAGACAAATAATAACCAATTGTAACGAACTGACCGTCTTAAAAATTACGCAATATTCTCGTTATTAGTCCCTAATACATTATTTAAAGATTCAGCATTGTATCTTGTATGGTTTTCAAGAGTACTGTGATTGTTTATAATTTATAACAGGTTTGTTATGCCTCCAACCTCCAACGTTCGCTTGACATTTGTCAGTGTCAAGTATAGTAGTATGGTTTGTCACAAACCAGCTTGTTCTGAATGGAGTGAAAACTGAAACTCTTTGTTTTGAAACTAAACCAGTCAGTACGGTTGGAGACACGACTAAAACTACATTTCTGGGTGTTGTGTTGGACACTATTATAGTCTGTTGTATAATGACCATGTAAACATTTTATGCAATAAATGAAACAGGGCAATTTATGATATAAGGCAAATAAAATATGCCGTCAATGAAATAGCTGCACTTACATCTTATTATTCTCTTTTCGATTCTATTCTACACTACGGACTTTTAGTTTTTAGCTCTGCAGCTAATATAAATATTGCAAAAGTGTGTAAAGTACAGAAATCTGCAATAAGGTGCATTGCTAATTTAAAGCAACATGACTCGTGTAGGCCTTACTTTAGATCATTGAATATAATAACTTTGTATGGCCTGATTATCTATAAAAAATTAATACATGTAAGAAAAAATATTTCAGATTTTCATTCATACAACACAAGACATTGCAATAATCTTCTTCCAACAGATTGGCTAGATGCTGGAACCAACAATAAAGAAATCAAATTGTACAATGCGCTGCCAGATGAGGTGAGATCGCTTTAGCTCAGCAGATTTAAATGTAAACTGAAATCTGTATTAACTAGGGCCTGTATTTACAGTTTTGAGGAATATTATGCTTATGCTTTGGCAAGCGACAGGCACGCCTTCTTGACTAAAGTGAATGGATAATTTAATAATGTTCTTGACATTTTGCTCGACAGGATCTTTGAGCATAATTTTTACCAATTTCCAGAAGTTTGACTAATTTGAAACTTCGCACTCGTATCCACAAAAAATTATTGATAAATCGAACAAAAAAATTAAAAACAAATAATAGGTTAAAGAAACTAAAAAACACGCTTTTATAGCTAACCGAACTAAAAAGTAGAAAATAATTTTTCATTACTAAGAGTTTAATATTACAGTAGTAGATGGTCGAACAATCAATCATAATTAAAATAAAATTTAAGTTATTAACACAATAACTCAATTCAGAGTAAAAAGCGTGGGTTGCTTTTTTCTACATTTTCATAACTCTCCTCTCATAGTTGCCAATATAATGATTGTAATATTTAATATGTCAAGCACCCCACGCTTTTTACTCTGAATTGTATTATTCTAGTGTACTTTCATATCTACGATGCTGCACTTTTTTTATTATTGATATATCTATGAATACTTGTGTATGTTTTCTACAATCAATAAATATTATTATTATAATAATCCAGTGAACCAAGAGGCGTCATAGCGTAATGGGGTGACGATTGCAGAACCGCAGGACGTAGGTTCGAATCCACGGAGCTCCTTTTTTTTATATTATTTTTGTTTGAATCTGGAGAAATAAATGCTTTTTCGAATATGTTCACTTTTATTGCGATCAGGAAATCACTGAACGGATTTCCAAAAACTTGATATAGTAGTAACCCTGTGTAAGTCTGCCTGTCCGAATTGATTTTTTTTAATCTGACGCCACAACAGATTTACACTCAACCACCTTGAGGCATTTTTGATGAACCTTTTAGAATCTGAATTCCATGACATTTCAAAATAGGCATCATCCAGAGCTGGTGAATTACAGAGTCAAATCTACTTTCCAGGTGGAATACATTAACCAACAATTTCATATAGAGAGTTGAAGACATTCATGTTATCTCAGTACTGTTATAACACATCAAGTTCACTCAATTTTGGACATTATATTAGATGAATTGCAGACGGCGCGGTGATAAAATATGCGCATACAAGGAGGGCGCGATATTATGCTTGTAGTGTAACTTGATGCAATATATCAAAAGCAAAATGTTGGGTTTGTTAAGATTATATTTTTCGAAATAAAAATATATAAATATAGATATTAAAAGTACAAGTCAGTTTTAAGTATACATAATATAAAATAAATATTCAAAACATTAATAACAATTAGTGTTTCCATTATATAAATTTTCAACATCTATAAAAGGCACCATAGAAGATACATCTACAATTTCAGATGATTGTCCTGTAACGTTGGAATAAATTGTACAGCACTCTCAGAGTCGACTTCAGATCCGTATTCACTATATCTAAAATAGTTCAAGGGCATGTTAATTTATTTTATGGAAAATCAAATCATGTGAATAGGAGTGTGTATAGTGGCTAAACAGAAGCTCCAAAGAGGTAGTGTGAAGAGCCCTAACATGAATGGAATTTTTTATTTCCTAAGGTTGAGGTTATCTCGGGCCGATTTCTGGTCTCATAAATGACACATCTTATTCAGGGGTCTCATCCAGATAGATGGGGAGAATCATTAGCAAGAGCCACTTTGCTTACTTTTTATGAAAGTGTATCAGTCACACAAACTTTTTGCAGATCAGGGGGTAGTAAATTTTCTCAGAGAAGGCCTGATCCATTAGAACCCTCAGAATATATTTGCCTTTAGGCCTCACCAGGTAACTACTCAAGCCATTGCATGCAAGGAAACAGCCCCATTGGCTTCTGTACCCACCCCACACACCAATTTTTCCCCTTCAAGTTCTGTGTATTCCCCCACTGGGAATTTTGCCACTTCCAAAAATGAAATGTTATCGCGTCGCGGATGTACGACTGCGGACGTGTTTGGCAGTTATTTGCTTGGTCTTTTCGTTTTTTAAGTCTCACCAGAAATGGTACTAACCTTCGGGCCTAGCTTTAGGTTTGGCAAGACCAACCTCCTCCATAAGTTCGAAAGCAAAATTGACATTGTGCACCTTCTGGTCAAATTCATGTGGTGTCAGATGGAAACAGTAATGTGGGACAAAGAAACCTTCAAGTAGACCCATCAACATTATTAGATAAACTCCATCATGGAACTGACTTTCGATTTCAGTAACTTCAAAGTTCATTTTGTTCAGATGCTTGTTGACAAATGTTACCAGTGACTACAAAAAATTCAAATGATTTTTTATATACTATAAAGATAAGTGTAGTTTTATTTACCTTTTTGACAACCTGCAGCTTGTCAGGAGCATGATCAAACAAAGTATCAAATGCGTCTCTTTCACATCTCATCCCAACATCTTCATAAGCTTTGGTCAACACCTCTTTGACTGTTTTATGTACCAACTGACCCTCTTTTTTCCTCACCACAACAACATCCACAGAAACATGTTCTGTAAGACGTACTGGAGGTCTGAAATGTCTGGCCAATGCTACCAACAAGTGAGTTATGGCAACAATATTCTTTGAATGAATTGCTTCTACACTCCATTTGTTGTCTCTTCTATCCACCCCTTGAAAATTATTGAATCGATTTAGATCAAGATAATACTTATGACATTCATATGTGAAAATACTGTAGAAAACTCAATGTATTTCTCAAGCACTTGTTCCGGTCTTTCACATAATGAAGGATAATGCTGTAGGATTTTGAACTTTTGTTGACCACCATCCACCATTAATTGCTTAATTGAAGCTTCTAACAGATCATTTAGAGAAAAAAAAAATGCAAAAGTTGGGATATATACAAAAGATACAGGGAACTCTGGAACTTATACTTATTTTTTATATTGCTATGTAAATACACCAACCTACGATGGTTTACTCACAAAAAAAATTAAGCTGCACAACCTTTTAAAAATGTATATATAATCTTAATATCATCAACAGTAGGTCAAGTATTGGTACTTAGTGCTTCACTACAATATATTCTTCATATGAGCAGCAGCACCATTTTATGTTTTGATTGTTATCCAATTTTTTTTTTTCTAAACAAATCAACTCTTACCTAGAATTTTATTAAAGTGGTTTAAAACAACAGCTAGTTTCTGTTTCTGTCCTTCCTCAGACTGTGTAACCTCAGGTACATCTAACTTATCTCCAGTGAGTTTTTCCAAGAGTTTCTGAAGCACCTGCCCATCATACAAATCTTCGGCCAATTCTTGCACAATAATTCTTTGAGATGCTAGTTCATCATTGATCCATTCTTTAAGAACATTCAAAAGCTCAATAAACCTTGGGTTTTCATAAGCTTTTGGATCAATTATACATCTTTCCTCATTATCATCTGTAATGGAGGAAATGAAGGAAATAATAAAGAATCATCAGCATCATTAGATTTCCACATAAAATAAATCACTATTTTGAGAGATACTTGAATATTGCTTGTTTTATAGGACAAGAAAATATATGTATAATTATCCATCTTTTCGATGGATACTAACCTAAGTTATATTCCTCAGGAGGAATAACTGGTGCTGTAGGACATCCTGGTGAATCAATTGCATATTTGCCTTCAGCTTGGACTTCCTGAACTGGAAATCAAAAAGAAACATCAAGTAAATTGATCATCTTCCTACACAGCAGAGACTTAAGGGTACTGACATGGGATAGCAATTCACCTTGTCACATATCTCAATCAATAAACCCATCAATTAATTATCTATTGTACTAATACAGTACAGCATAGTACAAGTAGCTTGTCACCATTGATTGCCACTCGACTCAATTTAAAGTTATCTGTTTCCTAACAACAAGGATGACATTTCCACCATATACTCAAAAAAAGGCTAATGGTGCTATAGTTATGTACCAGGTTGGCAAGGTGCACAGTAACGTGAGCTGTTCCACTGTGCTCAAACCCTAAATAAAATGGCAATGAGTTATTCCAATAAATACAAATATGAGCAAGTTTTAAAGTGTGCATGAGGCCAATTTCGAATAGAGGTTCAACTATGTAAGATAGATGAGTTACTCTTGCTAGTGATGAGAGATAGAGATGAGATGAATAATTGAAACAGGATGGTTATTTTGAAGCATCAAAAATATCTTTCACACAAAGCAAATAAGATTTTTTACTAAAATAAGGCCAGGGTGTTTGATATTTTAGTTGATGATACTGAGTAAGCATGATTTGAAAGAACAATAGGTCACTGAATCAAAATTTTTAAAGTTCCTAATATTTGGCCAGAACTACAAATAAAAATTTAGAATTGTGATTTATTGCAGATCTGTGTTGGAACCATACTCCTATTTTGAAAGCTAATTTAAAGTTAAAATTATACATATAAAGGTGGATCTGTTGAAAAATCATTATTGCAACATTCTCATTTGTAGGTCCTTTGCAAATGTAGCCCAACCATATATGGTCATCATATAAGCATTATCAAGCTGTTACACACCTTCCTTTATTCTTTTTTTCCTTCCTATTGTACCAAGTTTATCCCAAATTGTTTCCTCTTTTTCACCTCTAACTGCTACAGGGCGAGGTGACTTTGGTCGCATGGTCGTCATTTTGTCTCAGCCGAAAATCGATGAATATTTATTTATATTTGCTTTTTTCTTTAGGTTTATTTTATTTATTACCTCATAGTGCTCATAGGCTAGGCACAAACTCATAGGTCAGAAAGTTAACTGTCACTGTCACTTTGACACAGGACATATATTTGTCATTTGTCAGCATCATCAATCCATATATGGCAACGTCGCCGAATCTCTGTGACTTGACGATTTGAGGTTATATTTAGAAATATCTCTCGGTAGAACAACATTTGAAAATTTCATAATTCCTCTAATTTATGTTTAAAATATTGTACCAATAATTTTTATAGTATCTTCAGCGTATATTAAAAATGTCTGGAGGATCAGTATGCGTTTTTTTGCCTAATGGTAGACGTCAGGCTGTGAAATGTTCTCCAAATACTACAATTTTACAGGTAAGATCACAAAAAGTTAGGCGTGAAAAATTTTAATTGCGCAAAATTTTAGGTCCTGGAGGAAGTCTGTAAAAAGCAGGACCTCAAACCCGAAGACCACGATCTAAAACACCACAACAAAATATTGGATACTACCCAAACATTTAGATTTTCAGGATTACCCAACAATGCTCAGTTAGAACTGGTTGATGCTGTGAAAAAGAGGGTTGAAGGTGCATAAAAAATACGGGTTGATTTGATATGGTGATAATGATTAAATTATATTTTCAGGTGATATAACTTTAGCCTTAAACTTAGAAAATGGAAGTAGACTAGTTGGGAATTTTAAGCCAACTGATACCCTTCTGGTTGTGGTGAAAAAGCTCTGTCCTAACTATTTAGGGGAAGATAAACATACTGTTGTGATATACACTAGAAGAGAGATTTATGGTAAAGAGTTGGAGGATACTACATTGAGAAGTCTTGGTATAACAGGTAAGAACTGACTGTTGATTACAATGTTTGCTCTTGATAGTGCCCTGATTTCCTTATGACAGAAATGTTCAATTTTGCTGGTGCTTGGCAGCACTTGTATTGTTAGAGATCAAGGAATGAAAACATCTGATTAGCAAAAGGTATCTTTAAATATTACCTCCAACCTAACTAGCACTACCTACTTTTAGCTTCCTAGATTACACCATATAAAATTTTATATATTATTTGTAATGTTAAATATTTCTTAGTTAATGCAACTTCTAAAAATTACCATGTGGATATCTATCACTTTTTTTCCAATACTTGTACTTGGAAAAAGGTTGCAATGTACTCCATTCATCGAAGAAAGAAATTAAACACAAACATATTTATGAATACTTCACGTCATCAGATTCCAGAATGCAGATCATGTTACAGGGCCAGTGACTCCACCTTCTTGGTTTGATATTGGTCATATGTGCTAGACCCTTGTGCCCAATTATGTACATCCTTTCTTAAAATATATCAATGTGCTTATCACTCATTGAACATGTGCTGGTTATTGTTTTAGTTTAATGTCTTTTGTGGATAAATAGGCTTTAGTAGACAAAATGCTAATAAAGCCATGCACTTATTATGTGTGAAGGAAGGGCATTCTTTGTAACCATCTTACAGTTTCTTCAATGAAATACTTGTAAAAAAGGTTGTTATAAGATCTATAATCTATTCTATAAAGGAACAAATAGCACATGCCCAGGGCATTTGTGTGCATGAGGATACCTGCATGGCTTGAGCTCTTCCTGTAATGTAATGTTATATATGTTAATTCCTATGATTTGGAAGAGCTTTTTTTTACTCCTAATTTTGAAGGCAGCCTGTCAATATATCTAATATGCATAACAATTTTTCAAATCATATGATGTGTTACAAGCAACTTCATATGCTTGAAACTGTTACTAACATAGTTTTCCAGTAATTCTATATCTACCACTTGCATTTTCTAACTTTGATGGTATGGCTTCATAAACTGACAGCCAACTTACTTGCTTGTGATGTTGATTTTTTTTAGTTTATCTGCCTTTAATTGATTTCAGTCAACATAGCAAATTACGTGTTTACCTTTCTTTAAACGGTATTGTTTGTGCTGATGTATTTGTGTGCTGGGTACAATGAAATTTAACACATAGATAGCATATGACACAGAATGTATTTAGGCTACTTTTACCTATGTGTTCTGCGGGCGAAATCGCGGGGCGGAAAACTAGTATAGGTACAAAATTTTACAGACCTTAAACCCCCTGGTTTGCTCCTTTCACATTCTTAGTGTAAATTCACAATTTCATTATTGCCATTTTTTAGCAGAAAGTTCTAAAAAATTTCAAACTTGAGAGTGCCAAATCCATCCTTAACAGACTACCTGTATATAAAATTCTGGTGTCTAGTGGAAAAACAAAGGAGAGATATTTCTCCCTGTCAAATTTAAGGTCTGTAGTAGTAAAAACAAAGGACTTTCATACAAACTCTTCAATATGCTCTTAGTTCCCATAAATCCGGCTTCGTTGCAGAATCAGTTCTTAACTGATATCTTCTACATACAGGGTGGCCCAAGAAAAAGGTCGCACCCCCATTTGTGATTCTCCTGGCATATTTTGGGAAAAACACTCGGATACGTCAATTTTGATTTCTAGGGACGTCTTTTCATCTATAGCTGTATAATACAGGGTGATCCAAAAATAAGATATTGCGGTATACTTTAGATTTTTAAATGTAAACCCCCATTTGTTTAAGTTTTTTTTATAGCTATACTTTAAAATCAAAAACAAGTCTCCGAGTATTAAAAAAACAACTTACACTCACATTAAAGTTAAAGTAAAAATTAATTTGCTATAAAGAGGTAGGTCAATGTGATCATAAGTGCTGAAGGTGGTGTCCATTTACCTCCATGCAATAATAAAGATTTTGTTTGAATCTATTCCCCACATTTTCAAGAATGTCCTGAGTTATTTGTCTACATTCATCCGTAATCCGCTGACAAAGATCTTGATTGAATCTGGCTCCGAACTAAATACCTACTTTACTTTTCTAATGCCCCCAAAGAAAGTAATCTAAAGGACTTATGACTTGTTGGAAATGAATGTAATTTTCATTATAATTAACGTCATTTTTATTATTTCGGTAATTCGTGGCTCTATTGTATTTTCTAACATGTCCAAGTACGTCTCGACCGTCAAGTTTTGAGGAATAAAGAAAGGTCCTACAAAATGATTCCCGAAAATGCCGGCCTACGCATTTATTTTTTCAGGATATTGCGAGTGTGCCTTCCGAAACAAATGGATTCGAGACACCCCAATATCGATAATTATGTCTATTTACAGCACCATGTAAATAGAACGTACACTTATCCGACAAACAAATATTAAATAACAGATTTGCATTGTTGATTAAACGTTGGGACCTTTAAATTCGCAAAGCTCCAACCTTTTACCAAACTCGTTTTCATTAAGCTGATGGATAAGTTTTCTTGTATGGGTGAAATTTGTTGTCTTTCAAAATTCTTTGTACTGTTGAGCGTGTAAATCCTGAAGAAGTAGCCTCTCCACGTGTGCTATGGGTGTTGTCAAGTGCTACACGTCCCAAAATTGCTATTTCTGCGGGTTCATTTGTAACTGGTCGATTTTCTCGATGGTGAATATTAGACAGAGCCAGTTTCTTCACATTTTCTTATCAACCTAGCCACATACTTTTCGTTAATATGTTTTTCTGATTGTAACGCATTAAACAACCAGGCAGTAGCAATGCTCCCATTTTGGTAATACAGTTTTGTTATTTCTTTGAATTGAAGAAGTCATTGTTCAATATTTATCACAACTTGGTAGGCAACTTAACAATTTGAAATGAAAGACGTTTTTCTACCACCACATTTAGAGAACTTCACAAAATTAAATAGCCATTATCATAACTACGAAACTAGAGGCAGTATAGATTTTCATCTGAAAAATTGTAATAGTAGCATAGCTAGTAAATCTATATTTCAAAAGTACATATTTGAATTTAATAAATTGAATAATGATATTAAACAGAGTTCGAATTTAATAATGTTTAAGGTGAAATTAAAAAATCACTTTATGAATAATCAAAATACGTAGTGACGTAATTTTAATTTTAATAGACAAGAACGTAAAATTACAGAAAATGGATTGAAGAAAAATATGTAACCGAATCATTATACAAAACTGACATTGTAGCATTAATGCTAAATAAATCTTCAACAACAACAACTATGACACTGACTGATGATAAATGGTCTTGCTCTTTTTTGCCGTGCATTCCATTATTATCAGTCTTAAGTTAGTCGAATTTTATTATAAAACTCAAATAGCTTCACAACGATTGAAGATAGGTATAAACTTTATTATACAATAGATAATTACTCATGGAGAATCTAAAAATTAAAAAAATGGGGGTTCCCATTCCAAAATGTGTAACGCAATATCTTATTTTTGGATCACCCTGTATTGTCCGGATGACCTAGAAATCAAAATTGACGTGTGCTAGCGTTTTTCCCAAAATATACCAGGAGACTCACAAAGGGGGTTGCGTCCTTTTCGTTGGGCCACCCTATATAAAATACCTCCTTGGTAAATTTTAGATATCTAGTAGAAAAGTAAACGAGTTTTATATAAAAAAATGACAATGCCCTGAGCTTCCCTTAATCCAGCCGTGTCTCAAAATCCGTTCTTAGCCGACATGCCCTGTTCATAAAATACCTCCCTGCCAAATTTCATGTTCATTTGTGAAGTAGGCTTTGATATTTCGTGAATATTTTCGCTTTTATACACATACATATATCTGCTCTTAGCCATCCTTAATCCAATCCTATACCAAAATCAGTTCTTATCAGACATGCCCTTGTTATAAACTACCTCCCTGCCAAATTTCATCTTCATATGTCAAAAAGTTTTCGAGATTTCGTGATTATGAGTGAGAAAGTGAGTGTCTTTTTGCTTTTAATATAGAGATTGTATTTCGTTTGAAGCTATAATTTTTTCAACAGGTGGTAGGGCAATGCTGAGGCTGATCAATAAGCCACCTGAAGAGCTGAGGACTCAAGCCAATGTATCAGCTCCGCTGCCTCATAAGCCCACAGTAGAGCAACCTTACAAACGTGTTCTGCAGAGAGTTGAATCCCCACCTAGAAAAGAACTTGAGGTTAAACAGGAACCAAGGGAACCTGAAAGCACTACTGCTGAAGAGAGGAAAAGTTCTGGAGCTTCTCCACCACCAAAGGTACAGAAAAAGACATCAATTTTCTATGTCAAAACTTTCTAGCTTACAACTTTCAGAACTTTCGCTTGCTATCATTAGTGGCACACAGTAGCTTAATTGGGGTTGTATAGATACGGCTGACGACGCTGATTCGTCAAATAAGCAATTTCAGGTTAGAAAAAAATTTAATTTCAAGTGTAGCTTTCTTTTTCGTAACTAAACTGAATCGTGTAATATTACGCGTAAACCTGGCAATAAATACTTCAACCACTAGACCCCCTAGACCGATTCCTAAATCCGCTCTAGGTGTAAAGACATTTTTAATTTTCAAATATCTTTGAATCGCTTAGGTTTGCTTCATAGACGGGCCAAATTATAATGTACTCTTTTCTCTCATTAAGGTACAGAAAAGCGGCAATATTGACCTGATTCAGCTAGCCAAAGAAAAAAGGAAAAGTCAGGATAGATCTTCGTCTCCTACTCAAAAAGAAGAGAGAAGGAAAAGTAAGGATTTTGGCCAAACCAAACAGGACTTGAGAAGTATGTCTGGTAAAAAGGTACAAAAGGAGACATGTCAGTGTAAGAGAGATGAATCTATGGAAGTGGACTGTTGTGGAACATGTCAAAAGAGATGCACCAATGTTGTAGAAGATGCAAATAACCAGGATGAATTTATATTCGTAAGTCACTTCTGTAATAACTAAAAATTCAATTTTTATCAGTAGTTATTTCATAGAATGAGTTGCTCAGAACCTATATTGAATACTGGGGTCTGATTCTAAATGAGTTTTGACCATTGAAATTGATTTCGATGGCGCCGTTGTGATAATACACTTGATTCACTATGATAATTTTTACACTGCCATGATAAAATTTGAATGTATAGGATCGATATAATCGGATATCAAAATTATCATAGCAAATCAAGTATATCGTCACAAGGCACTGTTGAAATGAATTTCAAATGTCAAAACTCATTTATAATCAGGCTCCATATTATTCTGCTGATCCCCTGAATTCCTTCAGTACTTCTAGTCCGATTTGTCTAATGATTTATTACATAGGTTGGTACTCCAAGTCAGTCTATTCTACTCCATTTTGTTGTCCATTTAAATTTTGAGATATTTTTAATGGGTGGTTTATGATCTCCATCAAATCCTAGTTGGCACTTTTGACACTGTGTTATTTCACTTACCTTGGATAAGTTTAGTCGTAGATAAAATCAAGTAACTCAACTTGTTGAAATTGATAACTTTATTTTTTCTTTTTTTTTACACCGAAGCAGCCGCGAAGGCAGAAGTCTAAGGCCCGTATCGTCAGTCGTCCCTACAATTGTAGGGCGCGTTTATGGCCTCCTTGATTGTCATCCTCCTTTCTCTCCTTCTAAAATTTCTAGATTACACTTGTCCCGTGTCAGCGTCAGCGCTCTACTATTGTGATGATATGTTTCCTTTTTAAATTGTAGGAAATTTCAGGATGATAAAAAATGATATAACTCAAAAGCAAGCACAATTTGATGCAAATAGATGTTTGTGACATAACCTCAAAATAGAGTTCTGACACGGAGAAGCAGAAAACTATGACAATCAAGGAGGCCATAAAGGCGCCCTACAATTGTAGGGACGACTGACGATACGGGCCTAAAATGCCTGGACACCGCTTCTGCTATGAGGATCCCAAAGAAACTTTGTTAATCCGATTTTTGAACTCCCTGAGGTTAGTAGAACTGGGAAAAGCATCCTCTTGTAGATTGTCCCACAATCTCGACTCTCTAGGGACTAAGTAGCGGTCGTATCGGGCAGTTCTGATGTACGAAGTTCGACACAGTTATTATGGGAGGCCGAAGTATGGCGGCTCTGTCTGGCAGGCACACCATGCGTCGGCATCGTGTAGGAGGAGAGCTCTGAGGGAGCAAAGCCCGTTGGTGCAGCGGTAGAAGAGAGCTAGATCGCCGATGGCCCGCCGGTGCGAAAGGGTCCCAGACTGTCTATAAGAGAAGAGTCATCGATCAATCGGACAGCATCGAGCATGAATAATGTGGTCTGGGCGGCAGTACCACAGACGTGTGAGCGACACTCGAGATGAGGTCCTATCTTAAAAAAGTACTTCTTAGCCCTAAACAAATGGCCTAGCTTTTTCCCAGCAGCTATTGAAGAGACGTGTTTGTGCCAGATCAAGTCCTCAGTGATCTAGACTTCGACCAGCCGAAATGAATGGCTCATTGGCAGAACTCAGCCATACATCGAAACCGGATGCGCTAGGACGCTTTTCGTTCATCAAGGTACAGTACTGTGTTTTGGAAGAATTAAACTGTACAAGATTGTTACGTCCTCAAGCAGTGATAAGCTCCAGATCTCTCGTCTTAGAGTCGCGGTCTTTTTTCTAGCTCTCCGACAGAGATCGCCTTGTCGCTCTGAATTCCTGCATGTAGGTTGCTGTCATCAGCAAAGCTGTGTATTGGGTTGATCGTACAGGAAAGGAGGTCGTTGATATGTTAGAGGAACAGTGTGGGAGCCAAAACCGATCTCTGGGGAACACCCGCGTTGACGTTGTGGGATGAAGAGGATAACGCCCATGGTGGAGTTGACAACAAAGATCTTGGCAAGCCTTTAAGCCTTGACCTTTGAATCGGTTACAATCGTTCCATACTGACACGTAAGTGGTGGAAGGCTACTCTGTGAGAAGTTCCTTTTAATCTGCTTGCCAGCGTCCAAAAAAACTGACTGCCATTGTGCTGTCTGGCTAAACTTCGCCTCACTTCAGATAAAGGCATTGTTATTCTTTAATGGAATATAGGATATTCACGGCAAAGAGCAGAACGCATACATCATACCGTGAATTCTGATTTTGTTCGTTCTTTCATTCAGGATTTTGCAAATTTGAAAACCTGATTTTACCTTTTTTCCAGTTGGATAATAACAATGCCATGTTGTTCTCATTGGAATCCGCAAAGGCCATTCCCAGTGAGCAACTACCAGACGATTTCTTCGAGCTGACGATAAACGATGCGCGGAAAATCCTTAGAGATATGAAAATGCAACGCCACAATATGGAGAACCAACCATTGACAACTACCGAGCAAAGGAAGTTAGAGGAATCCAAGAAGCAACTGAGGCAGTTAAACAAGTACAAGAAGGCCATTATCAGGGTACAGTTTCCTGATAGAAACGTACTCCAGGGTACCTTCTCGCCTATTGATACAATCAAGACTGTTTGTGATTTCGTCAAGGTCTATTTGGAAGATAAATCTTTGAAGTTCTACCTTTGTAAGTCAAAGTGCGATATATACATGTCGATAGCATATGATGTTCTTTGCCAAAAGTATTATTTAATAAGTGTGTTTGATTCTTTGAACTTTGTAAAGATCTGCTGTTTTATTTCAATTTATTTCATAACTCCAATATAGAATCTCAACATTTGTATTAACTTAGTGATTTTGTTTAGATACTGCACCTCCAAAAGACGTCTTAGATTTGAATAAAAGGTTGATAGAATACAGTTTTGTGCCAGGTGCCTTGGTTTATTTTGGATCTGATGATAAAGACAAGAAAGATAATTTTTTGAGGTCAGATCTAAAAGACAAATTCACCACAAATTCAATTGCAAGTTTGGCTGCTAACAAGTTAAGGTAAGGAAAATGAATTTTGCAAAACAAGGGAATTTCAACATGAGGTGAAATATATCTCTTTCCACTGTTTTTGGCGGGTCACTGCAAAACTACCTGTATTGCTTTTATACATCCATCTTCCTCTCACAGATAGGGTGAGTTTTTAGTGGGTCTGGTCGATCAGTCTGTTATTACGCATGGTATCTAAAAAAATTAAATACAAAAATTGTAGCTATCAAAAAATGCTCCTGGTATGGAAAATATTTCTAATTTTACAGGGGTGATTCATAACATATTTTTTTGTAATGAAGAGATATATATTTTATTACGGATTTGGTTAGGCCATTCCAAACGAAGCAATTCGATATAAAAATACTATAAGGTTATATTTCCAAATTGTTGAGATATTGGGCAATTTATCTGTTATAGTTCTGATGAACTAAATTTCTGTTACTGTTTCATGTTTTTTTAGCTAGTTTATTGAGTGTGGTCAATAACGCAAAATTAACGGTTTTTAAAATTGGAACACCCTGTAAATTTTCAGTTTTTGATTCCCGTTTTCACAGGATTTTTTGTGATATAACACGTTTTATAGTTTCGCCTGTAAGAGCAGCTGCGTTGAGGACCGGTTTGCACAGTGTGCAATTTTCCCAATAAACGATAAGCTCCACACATGGTACAATGGGCATGTTGCGTACACAGGGGTTCCGTCGGTAGAGTTCGTGTGATGCTCTCCCCTTTCCCCTGTATCACCTCTTAGCCCCAGGTGTTTAGGCCTTGACTCCTGGTGGTTCAAATTTATAAAAATAGTCAATCTGTTTACTTACCGCCAAGAACCGTGAAATATTTTTCAATACCCTCACTGCCCTGCTAAGTCCCTGATTATTTTTCGTCACCGAAATATTTTTTTGTTTATAGGGCTGAAAATACAAGGACTTGTAAGGACCAAGAAGAAAAAGAAGAGGACTTTGATATGGATATTGATCAGAATGCTGTGGCTAACAGTAATAATGGGGCTAGCACAAGTACTGGAATAACTCATGAAAATTACACTGGTAGAAAAATTGTGAAATCTGAAAACGTACCAAAGTGGTTTAAGCCGTGAAATTATTTAGGTTAGGGGGTAAGGAGGAGAATGTATAATTTATTTTGAACTGGAATTGTAATTATTATATTCAATATTGTCAAGGCTATAGAGTGGAAGATATTTTATTAACTGTTTTTTATTCTGCTCATTAAATGAAATGAAATTTAAATATGTTATATTCCTATCCTTACTTGATCCAGTACTCCTGGGTAGCAGTAGATTTGAACCCAGGCATATCCAGAAAAAAATTCTGGGGGATTGAGCTCCGATTCAGTTTATGATTGAGGGCAGGGTTACTTAGTCACACTGTATTATACAAGGTGCCTCATTTCCCCGAAGGGTCAAGGTCATATTCAGACGTAAAATTTTCTGCTTTTTCCATTTCCAGTATAAAAATAAGAGTTTTAAAATGACAAATTGAAATTCAAAGTAGATATTTCAAAATTATGTTTATTCTCAATAAAAATGGTATATTGCCTATAACATAGACTAGAACAAATTACAGCAAAAACACAACATGTAAAACAATAATGTTTATCTGAAATAGGATAGTCCATACAAAAAAACTAGGTATTCAATACTGATATTATTTTTCTATGAGATAATATATGGGAATTAAGTAATGATTGAAATTTCAAATGTTGTGTTACTTTGCATTATGGTAATTTTATAGTAAGACACTTTCCAAAATAAAAAAAAATAAACACAAACTTATACGCTAGCATTTTAAAAATGATCAGATATTTTGCAATACCTTACCCTGAAATTTTTGCTTGGAGACTACGAATAAGATCTAAACAGCAACTAATTTTCTAGGCAGTTGAACTGAGGTAATATAAGGAGATCTTTCGAAAACATGACAGATAAAAATATATCATTTTATCCTCTTTCCTTCTTATCTTCAAGTGTCACGATTGCTTATTAGTTATTTTAATAATTAACATGACACAAAGGAGTTCTGAAACATAGTCTCTGGATGCTAGATGTCAAATGGAAATCAGCATTAATAAAACTATTTCAAAGGGGTAGTTTACAGAATGAGGAATATATTTTGTGGAATTTTATGCCAACCACATCCCTATAAATTATGGGAAATCATCACGATGACCATGGTATACAATGACATGCTAACATTTAAGGAGTTGATTTTTGAACCCATTTTAAGAAAAAAATATGAACGTATATGTCCTAAATGTCTTAAAATCCGAGATACAGAGTGGTAAAATTTTCAGAAAAAGAAACTGTGTTTCATAACTGATATTGTAGATTTTCTATGAAATTTGGTACACATCTTCTATGCATCAAGTTACATTTTCTGATGTACAAACGATTTCATTTCTACTAGTGGCGTCCGTAAGGGTTTGGTATCGAATTAAAAAAAAATAAAATCACTACTTCGGGGTCAAGTCGCTAAAAATCTGATGAGGTAAATGATGACTGCTGTGCGGAAATTGTTTTTCCCTTTTCTAAGCTGCTGAGTTCGTTTAGTCTCAGGAGCGGTACACCAAATAAGAAAAAAGTATTTCTTGGAAATCTCATTGATTTTTGAACAAATTTAATCATTTCAGCAGTCACCGTATCAGGTTTTTAGCGATTTAACCTTGAAGTATGACGACTTTTATTTTTTTAAGCGAAAACCATCAAGATCAAGATATCAAATTTGCTTATAAATGAATCGTTTTTATTCGAAGAAAAAGCTGTGGCGTACTATTTTTCCCCATAATGTTTAATGCAAAACCCGTACGGACGCCACTGTTAGGAATAATAAAATTGTTCGTACATAAGAAAATGTACTTTGATGCCTAGCAGGTGTGTACAAAATTTCAGAAACATATCTACAATAGTATCACAGGTATTATAAAACACAGATTTTTTTCTGAAAACTGTATCTCAAAGGTTAATACGTTTTTGACATGAATGTTCATATGATTTTTCTTTCCTAAAATAGGTACAAGAATCACCTCCTTAAATATTAACATATGATAAACGAACATCGTGTATAGTGCGTTTTGACGGATAAGTTATGAATCAAATGTCAAAGTAAGGCAATACCGCAACCTATGTCATAATGTGATTACATACAGGGTGTCCCAGACTATTATGTCAGTCTGTTGTATGCATATGAAACAAAAAACAATGGCTCAAGAATCTATAAAAAAATTTGCTGCCCATTCGAGGATACAGGCCACTGAAGGTCGCTATTGTAAATCATTCTTTCTCAAATAACTTTTAGAGCGCTTCAGACGAAGATACTGCATGCGAGATACAGATATTACATACAAACAAATTGGACTTTTCACACAGCGCTGTCAACGCGTTCAGTATTGCGATACCAAATTTCTGTATCATGCATTGTGCAGCCGCCGGCGACAGAATGCGTAAGAGCCCTTTCAGACGAGGATACCGTATGCGAGATACGCGTATCCGAGATACAGATATTCCATACACCCAAATCGAACCTTTCAAACAGCACTAGCGACGCATTCAGTATCCCGAACGCAAATTTCGGTATCGCTCATCTTTCGGCCGCCGGCGACAGAATGCGTATGCCGCATACAGAATTATCATTATATTATACGGAGCTGTTCAGACACGCATACTTTTTCATCAGTGAATACGGTAGAACATAGTCGTTGGGTTTTTCTTATGTTAGTAGTAAATGAGGTTAAGAATTTAATTGGACGTTAATGTAATACGTATATGTATATAGAAATGGAACGTGCAGTCTTTGATAATGAAAAGTTTATAAGTTTGGTGGAACCAAATCCCTGTTTATGGGATACAGCGCACCCAGATTATTGCGATAGAAATAAGAAACAGCAACGCTGGGTGGAAATTGCCAAACAAATGTGCGACAATTTTGAGGAGATGACAGCAGCACAACAGAATGAATATGGTAAGACATTAAACATAATTTTATTTTAAATACATATTAGACTATTATAAGTAAGTAGTGCAGGCTAAAAAGTTTACATATGGGAGTATTATCATTAAAATTTATTGTCCCAAAAATACTTAGTTCCTATAGATAGATTTTACTATATTTTAGTTAAAACTAAAACACAATCTAATTTAGACATAAGAAACGAATATTTCAGAAATATTAGGAATAAAAATAAATTTCAAAATTTCAACAGCACTAGTTCACATGATACAACTATTCTGCCATGGTAATATATCAGTATTCATGAAATAGTCAGCAAAATAGTCACGAATAGCAGTCGCTGATCTTGCAGAACACGCTCCTGTTTTTGCAACATTAGCATCATAAAATCCTTGGACGGATAAGGCATCTTCATGTTTATATCCATCTAGTACACGAACAAAATTATGGAGTACAGTACAAGCTTTAACTATGTCAACAGCAAAATCTATTGACACGTTGAGTGGTCTGTGAAATATTCTCCACTTGTTAGAAAGTATTCCAAAAGTACACTCAATATATCTTCGTGCTCGAGTTAACCGGTAATTATGTATTCTCTTTTTTAATGTCAGATTTTTTCCACCATATGGCCTCATAACATTGAAGGATAAATCAAATGCTTCGTCTCCAACAATAACATATGGGATTTTGTAATCATTCTTTTGTGGCAAAAAATCTGGATTGGGAAGATCTAGCTTTTTTGAGCTTAAGTTCTTATAAAAATGTGAATTCGTAAAAATGCTTGAATCACTGTTTTTCCCATAATCTCCAATATCTACAAATGTGAAGCAATAATTCGCGTCACACATCGCCAGTAGTTGTATTGAAAAAAAAATGTTTATAGTTAAAATAAAGAGAACCACTATGTTGTGGTTTTATAACCCGGATATGTTTTCCGTCTATGGCACCTAAACAGTGTGGATAATTTGCATTTTTCAAAAAACCGTCTGCGATTTCTAACCATTTTTCTCGTGTGGGCTTTGGTATACATTGTTCTTTCATAAATATCCAAATTAGCTTGCATGTTTCCTGAATTATTTCGCTCGCTGTTGAAATTCCAACTCTGTAGGTATAATGTAGCTCAGTAAGGGAGCAACCAGTCGCCAGGTACCTGAAAATAATTAAAAAAAACTTGTTGAATTTTTCAGGGAAAGATCTTCAAAAAAAAATGGAAGAATTTAAGAAATTCTTTTGCTCGAGAGTTGGCGAAAAGAAAAAAGAAAAAAAGTGGTGACGGAGCTTCTTGGAAAACTTATATATTTTTTGAACAGCTATCTTTTTTGATGCGATGCTCTTCAAATAGAGAGTAAGAAAATTTAACTTGTCAAAATATGAACTACTAAATTAATAGATTTGTTTTAGGACCACTTCAAATTTTACAGAGGAAAATCATACAATCGAAGAAGCTTCGGATCATGAACAAAATGAGTATGTTACTCCTTTAAGGCCTATACATGTACAGAAAAAAAGGAAAGTGGCATCGGAAACCGACCATAACACTGAGATAGTGGGCCTATTAAAGGCAAATCTTGCACAGCGACAAACAAACGATATTATGCTAGACAATGACGGAGACCGACATTTCCTTCTTTCGCTACTGCCGGACTTTAGAAGAGTGCCAATTGACAAAAAGATGGATGTGAAATTGGCAATGATACAATCGATAAAATCTGCCCTATTACCCACTCAATCTGCATTTAATTACAACCATGTACAACATTTGCCGTTTTATCCATCCGCTCCTAATCCCCCTTCTACACAACATCTTCCTATTCATAAGTCATCATCTTCACAAGTGCACGTTTATGGTCATCCTTCTTCCACTCATTCTCATTTATCTCCCCATTCGTCATCCAACACTTCATTCATTGAGTTACAATGTTCATCCAATGAAATAACAGACACTGTTCCCATCCTCTCACCCCATTCCGTTGAATCAACTGCCACCTCAACAGACGGATCCATCATCGATCTTCTTGTTGATTACCAAGGCTAAGACCAAAATTGTGGAGCTGATAATTAATTATTATTTTTCTTGTACTACTTTAAATACAAATAGATTTAGAAAAAAAACATCTATAAGTATTTTTTCCTTACCTTAATGTCATAGATAGTCGTTCTTTTGACGAAATACTTCTACGCATAGTTGTGTCCTTTTTAATTAGTTTGTTTTCCAAAATATTATGAAGTTTCTCAAAGGACTGAATAGACATTCGATAATAATTGAAAAACTTCGATGGATCTTGCAACAAATCTTCATGTAATAAATTATACGTTCCTTTGCTTTCTCTTAATCCCAACATGGGATGAACCCACAAACTACGTCTCCTTTTTAGTTTCTTCTTCTTATTATTTAATAAATACCACACCGCGATACACTCTTCTATTTCCATAATTACAACTGCACTACACTGCGTCTGTTTTGCGTATAACAAGGCGGTATGCGATACAGAAGTAAAAAAGTATCCGGTCGTAATTCTGTATCTCGGATACTGTATCTCGCATACGGTATCCTCGTCTGAAAGGGCTCTTAGGCGACACTGAAGACAGCTTAGTAACTAGTTGGGGCCTCACATATTGGTGCCCATGGAAAACTATTTACGCAGTTAGATCGCAATGCAATGTAAACATATATGCTCTAATCTATCCGAATTCGTTGAAAGAAGAGGAAAAACGCGGATTTTATAAAAATCAAACAATACATGTTTTCGGATAAAGCGACAGGGTTTTCAAAAATATTATTTTGTGTGTTATTATTAATCAGGGTATAACAATGTCAACTATTGCGTGAGGGCTAGTCCATCCCTGGTTTTCCAAATGAGTTAACTTTTTTCCATGAACACCATCAAGTAAGGCTCCAATTGGTTACTAAGCTGTCAGGATTTCCATAAATTCTCCAGTGCCGTTCTAAAGTTATTTGAGAAGAATCGATTTACAGTGGGATTCTTTAGGGGCATGCATCTCTTAGGGTAGACCTTTAGAACATTTTGTAAAGGTACTTGTGACATTATTTTTCCATAAACCGCAAAAGCTTTTTGTAAATCCCCTCGGACCAAACCTAGTCTCAGTGAACCCGACGACTTCCTATTCCAGATCCATTTGTCCCTTGGGATCTAAATGAACTCCCATAGGACCCAGCATGGTACTAGAAGGCCCAGCTTCACCCATCTGGGATTTGTAACTCTCCAGTATGTTTTTCAATGCGTTTACGTCTATATCGACGGGCGTGAAGCTTTCAATATCCTCGAAGGATTCTTCCTGTTTCTTTTCAAAGCTCTGGCCTGAAATAGATATTTTGATAAACTGAGATAAATGGATAAATGCACACTTGTTGAACTAGTGACTTTACTACCGAGGCAGCCGAAATGTCAAAAGTCACCAAGTAGCAATTTTAAAAAAATGTTTTTATTCTTCGCCGTCTAGCGGACACATGGTGACTGGCCCTCGAATTCGCGGGCAGTAGGCTGCGGCTGACTGTTTCGCAGTAGTCGATTCTAGTGGTAGATGGCACTTCGCGCTGTCTTATTTTCGATATTTTTATTCATTGGTCAGCGAAACGAAGATGGATTAAAGGATCAGGGTCTGTGGATGAGGTTTTGGTCCCGAAAACAACTCAGATTTCATGTTGGTCGCATCTATGAAATTTTTGCATTCAAATATTTTAGAACGTTCATTAACATCAACACATACTTCAAATCTACAGGATCAGCAGAGAAACATTGAGATCTCTTATGTAATATGCTTTAAAGAGATAGATACAGAAACAAGTACGAGGTCTGTAAATTAAGTGACAAGACTTAATTTTTTTTAATTTTTTCACTCAAATATGATTACAATTTTATATTATCACCCTCAAAATAACTTTCTTCTGTAGCCAGACAGCGCTGGAGACAGTTCTTCCACTTCTCATAGCAGTGCTGGAACTCTGATACTGGAATAGCCTTCAGCTGGTCGGTTGCAGCGATTTGAATATTTTCGAGTGTCTCAAAATGAGTTCCCTTGAGGTGATTTTTCAACTTAGGGATGAGAAAAAAGTCACAAGGACTCAAGCCAGGCGAAGAAGGAGCCACAGTAATGTTTTACTGGCCAAAAACTGATATTGCTGTGTGACAAGGAGCATTATCGTGATGTTCTTGATCTGATAAATGGTGGTGTGGGCCAAATGTAATTCTTCCCCCGAGCATTCTGACTGTCAACCGACGATTTGAACGCACAAGATCCCGGATTCTGTCGATTTTTTCATCGGTTCTTGAAGATAAAGGCCTTCCGCTTCGTGGTTCTGTTGCACTGTACCCACGTCTAAAGCAAAACCTGATAGCACACCGCTGCTCGAAATTGATGTTATTCAATTTTAAAACACAATAGGAAAATCTGTTTCGCAAAAAAAATCGCTACGGAATACCAAATGAGCGAGTTCAAATTTATACTGAAGGCGGATCATATGTTCCCCTACCTCCCTCCAGTGTTGCCAGTCTCATCACTTAATTTAGAGACCTCGTATGTTAGAGCGAAAGCGAACTGTTCACTAGCGTTAGTCTAACAAACGTGTTTTTCGATCTATATTTTTCAGGCACAGTAAGTACGGGTCCTCAATGATTTCCTGCTGTTCCTGGATAATAAATCACACTAACACGCCTAGTATATTATAAAAATGCAACTGTTGCTCCATTGAGCTCACAATAAAAATAAAAGTTGAAACAAATACAACACAATAACATTGCGACTTCTACTTTTGTTTTTAATGTCAGCGCAGTGAAGCAACACTTATTTTTCTACATGCGACCCAACAGGTCTTAGTGTGTTTGATTATAGATTAGAAAGTGTAGCGAAAAGCGATCATATCAAAATACTATACTAAGGTAGATATTGATAATAGACGAATTTTGAACAAAAATGCTAAAATTGATAACTTTGAGGTTTTGTACTAGAATAATAATGACGACAAAAGTTTAAAATGCATATATTCCATATCTACAAGCAAAAATTTGAGTTATTTTCAGGGCCGAAAATCTCGGTTATAGACCCTTATCCTTTTCTTTGTTCGTGGTTGAAACTAGACTGAGTTAGAAACCTACCTATAGTGGTAGATGCGAGTTCCCTATCCATCTGTTCCATATACGCTTCCATTTTAGACTTTCCCTCCTCGTAAGATTGATTCTTTATGTACTCGTCATTTTCGTAGTCACTCATAGTATCGTCGGAATCCAAATCCCATGAATCGTCTTCGGGTATGACGAAATTCAAAATATTCTGGACGGTGCATGAAAAATTGTTTGCGTCAAAGTTTATTTTATTGCTTGATTTGGCGTCAGCCCTGGCACTTTCAGTGAAAGATACTTTGCCATTTCTTCTTGGAGGTCTTATGGGTGATGATTCAACACTGTTGTCCGGAAATTCGGCACCTGAAGAGAACAGAAGGAATACACATTAGATTTATTTTTACCGTCAGGGCTACAGGCCAAACGAATGGGTTTTGACAAATGAGGTGTTGTTGGATTCTTCTTAACTGTGCGAGTGACACCGGTTATATTAAAATTTTATAAAAACAAAATGGCGGATTTTAAATAAAAAAATCAAACAAAATTTCTATTTCACAGTCTATAGCTTAAACAGCTTGAAGGATTTTGACATATCGATGGCTTAGTTCTAATACGGTGTATCCCCAAAAAGCGAGTTTTACAGTATGAAGAAAAAACGATTTATTCAAGATTACTTGGCTGTTAGATGTTATCACATTTGAGATTAGCTTTATCTGTTTTAGGCAAAATATCGACAAGTAGAGACCACTCCAGCCTTGTATGTGGCTTAAGAAGTATTAGCATTTGATCATTATGTTTGATACGACCTGTTTGTTTTCCACAGTGGATTATGTCTTTTTTATTATATATAAAAATTAGAAAACTAATTGGGATACAGCATATTGTGCGAATATAATCTTATTTGAAACAGCATTTTAACGTTATATAATCGTTTATTATTTGCTAACAACAAAGGAAAACATACAAATATGATATCAGACAACTTCAATTGTTATCTTGTAATAAAAAATAAAAACAAATCCAGACTGGCGACTTCTTACACTAGACAACAAGCTCGGTAACAAGCGACAGAGTAGAAGAATCCTGGAAGAGTCAATTTTGTTTCTTATTTTTGGACTTATTCGTATCATTGTTGCACTTCTTTGTTTTTCTGGAATAAACAGATTTAATAAAAAATGATTATACCTTTTACTGTCTTTTGCGTTTTTCTGATTACCGCCATTTTTCAAATTAGGTTTCCCTGACTTTTTATCAATTATGGATCCACTCACTTTATATCTACTTTCCTCGAGTTTGTAGAACTGTTAGAATACTTGAAGAGGTTCGGCAACAGCGCGACCGTGTGTGAGTGCGTGTCAGAGTGCAAAATGCGACGGAAGGCAGGTATAGTGGATACCAAATAAAACCCGATGCACGTCATCGATCTGGAGCTGTGCGCTGTTGCCAGAATTTGCACATTTTCTTTTAAGCAAATAAATTTAATAAAATAAATTGTTTATATATACCTACCATTTACTATAATACCATTATATTAAAAATAAATAAACTTGTTGTAAAATTAAATTCCTTTCTGAATAAAAACACCTGATTTGGTAGATATTCAAAAACACAAAATATTTAAAGAACATAAATTGTTTTCTCGTATTTTAATTAATTTGATTATTTATTTATGATATGGGAACTACAACACTTTTTCAATTCACATCAAAAAGAAGAAAGAACTCGGGTGATGCGATGTTACACAATACCGGCAACTAGCGGCAAGGAGTACTCCTTATCGAGCCTGATATTAACCGCATGGTATGGTTCAGTTGTATATCAATTCCAGAGTTTGATTACATTATACAGAATATATTTTGATGTTTTAACTATTCTGAATCACTGGAATCAGAGTCATCGTTAACATGGATAATAAGGGGAAGAATTTCCTGTCTATCCATTACTTGTTCCCTTCTATACCATTTCATAACTATCTCCTCTGTATGTCTAATGGAGTTCTTCCACATATCAGGGGTAATAGTTTGGAGTGCCTCTTGCCACATTTTTAGGCAGTCATTTTCAGTGTGGCCATCTCTTCCAATATGCCGATTATAGTAATCTTTAATTAGCTCAATTGGGTTAAAAATACAGTGGTATGGAGGTAACCGTAAAACTTTATATCCATATTGTTCTGCCAAGTTATCGACCACATACATTTTGGTTGGTTTATTCCCAAAAAAAAAATAAATAGGAACAAAATGCATAAAGATTGGGTATTCTGCTCACTGTGCAACAATCGTTAAAAGTTCAGATTTGAATGCTTCATGTGGATACTGTATTTTTTGTTCAGTTAACCAATTTCAGCCTTTCTCCATGAGCTATTGGGAGTTTTTACTAATAACATGCTATGGTATGATGCATTATCCATAACAATCACAGAGGGTTGGGTCAAGCTTATTAGTAATTGATTTTCAAACCAATATAAAAAGTTTTGCTGGTTCATTTCACCATGGTAATCATTAAGCTGGGTTTTCGATGAAAATATGAGCAACGCACCTTCAATAAATCCATTTTCATTGCCAGCGTGAACTATGATATACCCACAAATGCATTTCATTTTATATAGAGCTTATTTTTCTATACATTTGAAAGCCCACCTTTTTCCATCAGCTTTGGTACTTCTAACACTTCGCTTGGATACTTTACACCACTTCACAGTAACTGTTGTTCTGAAAAGAACAATTTTTAATTGGCAAGGCAACGATTCAAAGCTCAATTAGCGCAAAACTCACAAACTAAACAATAAAGAACTAATAGTACGACAAAAGGACAATGGCAACTGATGTCAACAAATGAGAAGTGGCAACCTCACATTTCTCTGCACGGCACTACCAACCGAATCGAGACGGGGAAATTTAAACTTCAAGTAGAAATGTCACATTGAATGTAGTCAACTGTTGGTAACCATGATTTTTATGAATGACATCACCTATGACGTGCATCGGATTTTATTTGGTATCCACTATAGTAAGACCCTGAGGACGGGTTGCGAGGGGAGACGGGCAGGAGCATCGGCAGAGATCGTCGCTCAGCTCGACGGACGTACGAACATTGTTACTGCTATTCTATTTTTGTTTCGAATTGTATAATGTGAGTTGTAAAGCGGCCTCTATCTTAGTAAATAAAGTGATTTCATCGTAACACCGTCTTCCTACCCATTAACCTGAGAGAGCTAGCACCGGAACTATTTCACAATTTAAATTTTTTTTTTGTTAGTGAGCCAAGGAACAATTTTGTCCTACATCTTAGCTACTATACCTTCAATTTTTAGTTTATCATTGTCTGCCGACGACTTTTCTGGTTCTTCTTTGACGTTGTTCGACTTCCTAGTTTATTCTATCTCCACCGTACTTCCTTCATATTGGAGTGCATCGTAGGTGTCTACATCTTCAGACATTACTTTTTTGAATCGTTGCAAATGATTCATAAGTATCGTTGATTTCTGATTTGTAGTAGATTTGGCCAGTGCTATCATATCTTAGGCATCTCAGATCGTTCACCTTTAAATAGTTTTTCTTACTTTCTGGACGCTTGGAATTGTACCTTTTACAGAAAATACGAATGGTTTGGATACTCTACGCCCAAAGGTACTGATCGCATCTCTAACTAGGTTTATGTAATCGGCAGGCAAATGTATGTCTTTCCCTCTAAGGCGCCTTTCAATGAGACAATGAGTCGAGTCACACTCCATTTGAATGTGACCCTTCTCCAGATACTTCTGCTCAATCATTATATTATACCATATGGCCAATAGAGACAAGGCATTGGACAATATGCTGTTTTTGTTTTGGTATCCGCAACTATCTGACCACAACGCAATCGGTTTGGCTAGAATATTCATACTCCCTCCGTTTATTTAGAGTAATGTGGTAGCTCATTTGCTAGATGTCACTTTATAGAATGCGCCAAGTGAATCTATCTGAATTGTTATCATGTCGCAGTACCGAACCCGCTCCCTCGGAGCTAACTCAAAGACGTTTTTGATGATGAAGCGTAAGGCAGCGAACTCATTGAAATAGTTCGGTAACGTTCGATCCTGCGACCCAAACACAATCCCCTGAGTATGTTTTAGAATGTCATTTCAATAAACTGATAATCACTGACAATGAATACAACCTGTTGAAGCGTATTCAAGATAGCGCTACAGTTCAGCAGCTCAGTGTAAGTGTCAGTGGAAGACAGAGTGAAGCCATGAGTACCCTGTATGGTAGTACGGGTGACAAAAATCCGACTTAAGTGTTAAAGAACATCAGAAATAAACATCTAGAAGACCCATTAGCATTGGGATTATTGTACATCAATTCTAATTTATCGTATACCAACAGAACAGTTACAAGATCCAATATGCTGTAACCAATCTTTACTTTTTAATAAAATTTCCGAGCAATAAACATATGACGCTTTCGAATTGAAGTATACATTTCTGATAAGATTTCTTAGACACTTACTCTGGCGTAACGCTTTATTGTAAAAAAAACAGAGATAGCATTATTTGATCAAATAAAGAGAGCACTGTCTAGCAACCAACACAATCAGGTTCAGTGATCAAGTGGATGCTGAGGGATACAGCTTATTGAAACCGAAAATAACAGCTGATTTAGATACGACATATTAGAATATGGACAAAAATTGTGTTTTTATTAGCAGGTTAGCTACGACAACTTGTCACATGATAGAAATACCCTTTTTCATTTGAAATCCATCAAAATCTCGATTTCGACATTTTGTGGGATACGTCGTATTAGAACTAAGCCATCGATATGAGGTGTAGTTGGATTCGTCTTGACTGAGCGAGTGACATTCGCTATATTAAAATTTTCTATTTCACGGGCTGCAGCATAAACGGCCTGATGGACTTTGAGATATACGAGGTGATGTTGCATTTGTCTTCGAAGTGCGAGTGACACTGACTATATTAAAATTTTATAAAATCTAAACGGCGGATTTTAATCGAAAACCTCAAGTTTGACATTTTCTACAACCTAAACGACTTGTCTATTTTGACATACGATGTATATAGGTGGATTCTTTAATTCACCGGTTGATTCCACCACTGATGGATGCCCTGCTTATGGTTGACACTGTTGACAGCTTTGTATGGTGATGGCAGCAACCGGTTGAATTAAAAGGACAGATGTCTGGTCCACCGGTGGCACCGGTTGCTCAACCGGTGAATTAAAAAATACACCATCTCTAGATTTCTCTTGACAGCCTGAGTGACACTGGGTATATTCAAATTTCGTAATATCAAAATGGCGGATATTAAACATCATCCATGAAATTTCTATTTCACGGGTTACAAATCAAACGGCTTGATGGATTTGGACATTTTAGGCGTCAGATTCGTCTTAATTGCACAATAAATTCAATCATTTCAGTTACTGCATTCATGCTTCTTGTATATTTTAAAAGTGTACATGTTCATTATATAGACATATTCCACCAGAAGATATTATATAGTGGATACCAAATAAAATCCGATGCACGTCATAGGTGATGTCATTCATAAAATCATGGTTACCAACAGTTGACTACATTCAATGTGACATTTCTACTTGAAGTTTAAATTTCCCCGTCTCGATTCGGTTGGTAGTGCCGTGCAGAGAAATGTGAGGTTGCCACTTCTCATTTGTTGACATCAGTTGCCATTGTCCTTTTGTCGTACTATTAGTTCTTTATTGTTTAGTTTGTGAGTTTTGCGCTATTTGAGCTTTGAATCGTTGCCTTGCCAATTAAAAATTGTTCTTTTCAGAACAACAGTTTCTGTGAAGTGGTGTAAAGTATCCAAAATGCCAAAACAACTTAACAGTCGGTGTAAAGAGCTCATATCATTGAATATCTACCAAAATCAGGTGTTTTTATTCAGAAAGGAATTTAATTTTACAACAAGTTTATTTATTTTTAATATAATGGTATTATAGTAAATGGTAGGTATATATAAACAATTTATTTTATTAAATTTATTTGCTTAAAAGAAAATGTGCAAATTCTGGCAACAGCGCACAGCTCCAGATCGATGACGTGCATCGGGTTTTATTTGGTATCCACTTTGCGCAAAAACATGCATACATACTGTAGCGCCACCAATCGCTTATGTTTAGAATTAAATACGTGTCTTCAGGCGCCAGCGTTGCCACTCCTCGGAATATTGCCACAGGGTATGGGCTTTCCGTCGTTGAGAAATTCTGAGAATACATAATCTCGGGAATATTTATCAGGGAGATTGAGGTGTGACTTTCCTTGAGAGGTTGATTGTTTGAGAATGAACAATTTTTTAAGGCAAAATGGATTCTGCTTTGATTGCTTCTAAGGAAATTACTGAGATCCTACTTGTCTGGAGAACATGTTAATACTAAAAGCAATATTTCTACGTGCGGTACATGCTAATGTTAGAATTTTCTAGAAACGGATCTATGTTCGAAATGTCCATGAGTTGCTCTATGTTCTGATCAACTACTCTTTGGTTTGACTGCGCGGGGATATGCCTTTTTTCATTGAAAACTACGGTTATAAAACCAAAATTCAAATTTGTGAAATCTTACCTTCAATTTCCGAAACATGGTTCAAAAATTTGGAAACTTTTTCAGTAAAACTTGTAGCATCAGCGTTATTGTTCAAGTTAAACGTCTTCTTTTGGCCATATCTCTCCTGCAACATTTTGTCCAACTCTTCAGGGCTTATGTCAAGCCAGGAGTCGTCATCGTCTTCAGGGAGAGAGTTTTCTTCATTTTTCAACTCTTCCATATTTAAATCTCGACTCCTCAATAATTCCAAAATGTCTCGGCCTATGGCGGGGCTGTAATGCATCGTGTCACGATGATTTGAATAATACTCTTTAGCTTTATTCAATAGATTGTTATATTCCACAGAATGTTCTAAGAGATGTTTGAAATATCCTTTATCTTTGAGGCTGTTTAAATATGCATGCCACCCTTTGTCTGATTCGATGTCGCTGCTAGGCTTTGCTTGAGAAGCTAGTATTTCAAAACCGCATGCAATCTGAAACAAGCAAGCTTACATCTAAAATGTTCACTGTCAAACGATCAGTATTTACTCCGGTTTGCATCATCAGTATTTTACTGATCATTATAGCAGCGTCAGTGGATTTTTATGCAACCCTATATATCAATTCACGAGACCATAAAGCGATAAGCAAAAAAACTGTGAAATACACAGATTCAAATTCCAAACACTATTTAAAGCAATGAGTAGGTATTGGTGTTGTGACTCCGACTTGCTTTTCGTACGTTCTTAAATTTGAATTCGAGTATTTCATTGTATCACTGAAAAATTTTCTGTACGAGTTCTATACTAATAGTCTCCTATGTTTTTTGGATGTTATATGACTTATAACATCACGAAAAACAATATTACTCATTTCTGTCGATCGGTTTGTTCGCTAATCATTGGCCGGGCTATAACTTCACACAATGTTACTACTATGGCAAGGACGAAAAAGCTTTATAGTTTGTGAAAATCAGTCCAGTGGCGCCGGAGCTATAGACAAAAGACGACAAAATACACATCGCTCAAACGTCGTCTAGTAATTCTACGCACCTTTTACACATATTTCTCATATCATTGATTTCCCTGTACATTTCTCCTTGAAACTTAGAATGAGAAATATTTTCAACACACACGACTAATGAATTTAGAAGGGGCGCAGTAGTGAATTAAGTTCATTCTGATGCAGATTGGATTGAGATATTCGTAGCTAAGTTTTTTCTCAAAGGGGCTAACTTGTGTCTTATGTAATCCTTGACGCCATTTTTTTTTAAATAAAAGCAGTGTAGGTATAAATAATAAGATCTACTGAAACAAGATAATTTGAGATTACCTTGACTCCTAAAAGATGTGCCTTGTAGACCGTCGCACTCCGTGAAGGCAAATTCCAACCAGTCCTTCTGTCTGGCATATATTTACTGTGTGTCAACATAGCATACAAACACTTTGTAAAGGTGACCCTAGTCATGACTCTATCTTCTGGTGGAAAATACTTCATTGCTCTGCATGCCTTCATGTCAACAGTGTCTCTGTTGCAAAATGCTTGCGCCGCGGGAGCGATGAGGTTCGGTTTCTTTTTTAAAATGGCAGCTATTGAGACAGGAAGGTAGGCTTTGGCTCTGTGGAGATTGTCTTTTGTTTTTTCTGGATAACCTGGAAAAGTAATAATCTCATTTTTCTCTTTGTATAGTATTTATCAACTAATCTGAAACAATCAGTAACTAGTATTATACCTTTTAATTTTTCCTGGATGGCAGTCTGTATTTCAGTAGAGGCTATAGTTTCTGCGGAATGAGAACGTATTTCTGAAAGAGCTTCCATTACAGATATTGTAGGATTTTCATCAGAAGTTGGAGGAACTAAATGGATACATCCATTATAGATATATACCTGAAATAAGCAACTTTGTTATTCAATGTTTAGTCATTACTGCAACAAATCACTAGAATTGATGTTATACTGATTTTTCCCATGACATTCCTAAAAATACTCAAACTTCCTACGGCTTCAGATCAGATACGATCATTTTTCAGAAAAATAATTTTCACTTCCCACGCCTGCTGCCGGGGAAGTATTGTAATCGTGAAATTTTTCGAAAATGGGATATTATGTTTTTGGGATGTTATCTGACTTACATCTCGAAAAACCATGTCACTCATTTCTGTTCGGTCTGTACGCTAATCTTATAATCGCATATAACATGGAAAGTACCGCTCGGATTTCGTTTAATTTTTATATAATGTTACTGCTATGCCAGGGCTGGTTTAGTATTGTGACAAATCATACTGTCGGCGCCATCTGTTAGGCGAGTCTCCTACTCGCTAGAGCTTCATGGCCGATCTCTTTTACGCGAATCCTGACCGCACCAGCCACCTAGCGGCATCTGTAAGGATATTGTTTGCAAAAGTGTACTATGTTATATTTGATAGCCATACTAAGGGGATGAAAAAATATGTAATATATTGTGACGAACAGTACTGTTGGCGCCATCTGTTGGGCGAGTCTCCTACTCGCCAGAGCTTCATGGCCGATCTCTGCTTTTACGCGAACCACGACCGCTCAAGCCGCTTGGCGGCGTCTGTGAAGACCGTGACAGTGGATCGCCTTCTAGATCGACGCGAAGTGATCTCTAACATTCTAGATATCGCTTCGTGGTGTTTCTCGCAGCGGTAATTGAACTATATATAACTCGGCAGCCGGGAGATGGGGCAGAGAGTACGGAATACGGTGGAGTAGCAGAGCGAAGAGAAGTATATTGCAGTCAATGGTGACATAAGAATTAGTCAGACATAAATAGTGGTGCATATAAATGTATTATCCAGTTGAATAAATTAATGCATTTCTTTTTGTGGAATCCAGTGTTTTAATCCACACCCAAAAAGAACCCAGAAAAACGCTACAGTATATTACAGAAGGCATCAATGTCTAGCATTTGCTGACGACCTGGTTATTTTGGCCAGAAGTAAAGCCAAATTCATAGACACCGTAAAGAGACTAGAAGAAAAAGCACGAATCAAAGGACTGTACATTAATGTAGAAAAGACAAAGTGAATGGAATGGGCAGATAAAGAACTTGATAAAGGATAGCACTTAATAATGACCACAACAAAAGGAGAAATCTATAAGTTTGAAAAAGTACATACGTATGACTACTTGGGCACAGTATTTACATCAAAGCCGGGCAACAGAGAGGGAATACAAAAAAAGAATGCTGGCCGGAAATCATGCCATATATGCGCTAAAAGGACTAATGAAAAGCAAAATCATATCCAGGGGAGCTAAAATCAGGATCTATAAAACGCTAATAAGGCCAATGGTCACGTATGCATGTGAAACATGGACGATAAGAAAGGCAGAACAAGCAAAGCTGGAGATATGGGAACGGAAGGTGTTAAGGATGATATTTTGGAGGCAAAATGTTAGATCATGGTGCGTGGACCCGAAGAACCAATAATGAGTTGAAAGAACTGTTTAAAGAGAGCAACATAACGGCGGACATAAGAGCTCAGAGGTTGAGATGGTTGGGACACGTGCAAAGAATGGCAGAACATAAAGTACCAAACGCACTGATTATCCATTCAATAGGAGGAAAGAAAATGAGAGGCAGACCCAGATGAGGTGGAAAACTGAGGAGAAAGATAACCTGAGGAAATTAAACATAAGTGATTGGTAGTGCTAGTTTATATATATATATATATATATATATAATAAAGGGCAAAATCCGCGAAAAGAAGGAAAGTGGATTTGAGCAGAAAATAGGATAGGTAACCCGAGCGATACGTATTTCTGCCGGTTGGCTTCATCAGGCCCGAAATGAATGCACATATGCAACTACAAAACTAGATTCACATGGTCATACAGCCGGATATGGGTGTAACCTGAGGAAACTAAGATGGAGAGGGAAAAAATCACACACAAGAGCCAACCTACACATTGTAGATGTCGCCTTGAAAATTCGAGGTCTTCTAGCCATTTTATACTACAATGTGTAGGTTGGCTCTTGTTGTAGACTTCGTGTGTGATTTTTTCCCTCTCCATCTTAGTTTCCGCAGGTTACACCTGAATCCGGATGTATGGGCATGTGTATCTACTTTTGTAGTTGCATATGTGCATTCATTTCGGGACTGATGAAGCCAACCAGTAGAAATACGTATCGCTCGGGTTACCTATCCTATTTTCTGCTCGAATCCACTTTCCTTCTTCTCGCGGATTTTGCCCATTATTTTTCTATTTTATATACCTTTCTCCGCATGATCATTTTCTCTTCATATATATATGTACATATACTGCTATGCCAAGCACATAAAAGCGTCGTAGTTTTTGAAAATCGGTCCAGTGACTGCCGAGAAAAAGGAAAAAACAATAAAAATCGCTTAGGCAACACGACAAAAACACGTTCGTTAGGTGAATCTGCTGTCAATTGTTAGCTGAGAATGCTGCAAAGCTTAATAGTGCTATCCCAAATAGGATTTTGCGTCACTATCGTTTTACTTCCCACGCCACTAGGCGAGGAAGTATTGTAATCGCCAAAAATTTCGAAAAAGTTACATATTATGTTTTTTGGATGTTGATGATGGAAAAGTAGCGCTCGGTTTTTGATAAAATTTTTACACGAGGGTACTAAAGACGAGAAACGTTCGTAATTAAAAAAAACGGTATAGTGGTCGCGAGGCTAGGGGCAAAAGATGAAAACAAGAGAAACCGCTCAATCCTTGCTTTTTGACATATAGAAGCTCCATTTTCAGATAACTTTTTGTAGGGGTTAAAATTAGATTTAGAAGTTATATGTGGTGAGGGACGGTTATCGGCAAGGCAGGGGAAAATATATATGGACTAATTGTATGGGCTTGTTTGTTTGATTGGATCTATTTAATTTCTCTTCTTCTTTTTTTTACAGGGTCTAACTTATGCCATACATACATCTTTATGAACTGATGAAACCATTACATGGGAAGCGCAGAGTCAACCAACTTGACAAAATTTTTTTAAAGGTGATATTCAAAATCGGCATCCTAAATCACCCTTATGGACCGAGTTTCTCTCATTTCTAAATATGGAATGAAATGAAGAAAAATTGGAATGATATGTTTGAAAACATAAAATTAAGCCCTTTACGATAAAAAAATTCTTATCTATTTTTGACAAATGTTGCTCAGGGTTTAATAAGCTTTATAGATTATGAAAAAATATGTGTAAATAACCAAACATTCATGAAAGAATGGTTGGTAATCCTAGCATCAAAACATACCCTATTCTCACAAGTTTCTGGACTAGCCCACCTGGGCAAAACATTTGCTGCTTCAATCAGAAGAAACTCTCCGTCAACATCATAAGCCCTGGCAATCAAGCCTTTGATCTCCTTAGTCAATTGTTGCAGAATAAACACCATGAACCACTCATCTTCAACATTGTCCCCATAGTGTGACACCCCATACAAGTGAGGAGGGAGATATTCTGTGAAATTTCAACTATTAAAGCAGATCAAATGAAGATTAACTAATATGATAGCTGCAATACATTGGCGCATCTAAGGGGACCTGGGTCCCCTCCGAATAGTACAAAACATTGATCACATTCTGGGCAAATCTGCTAATTTTTTTGTAAACTATCACTTCGTCGTGACCAACGGGTGCGAATGGATTAGAAGGAACCAAGACCATATGTTTAAATTTCATTGTCGCCAAAGTTGCGTAGTTTTAGTGCATACCTTTGACACATCTGACTACCAATGCCAACCAAAGTGACAGTGTTGTATCAACATAATCATACTTCTTACTGATGGGGACAACTACCTTCATTAATCTTGTGCTGCTCTTTGCAAATTATATCAGAAATATCATGTCTTGAAATCGTCTAACACCACAATTATCTGCAAATACCCGCAATTTTTAGGAAATATCTCTAAAATACGAATTTAATGACAGATCTCTCCAAAAGTTTACTTATGTCAGGTGCACTTTGATCCTCACTACAGAATTTTATGAGAATCAGGAGTCAAGCAAATCCTTGACTGACTCCTTCTACCTAGTCTGAATTCGTTGGTCATGATGGACTAGAATTTTCGTAATGGAGTAGTTAAACAAGTGAGATTATAGGTACAAAATATTAAATTTCAAGTATGGACTCAGAAACAGTGTAGGTATTTCCTTATTCTTAGATGTAGATATGTATGACCAATTTTGTATATGATCATAAATGGTAGTCTCGAACATTGTAAAGCTGTTTTTGAAGCATTAATAGTCATCAACAATGTTGTAAAGAAATAAAGACGTATTTTATTATGGTTGTTATTATTTTGCATCTCATGGCGGGATATACGTACATAAATGTTTATTTTGTGATGGGTCATAATATTCATGTAAAGAAATGTTACTTTTATTTGAAGAAGAAAATAAGTCCTTCGTGATTTTTCTAGTGATACATGTTTATTTTGCAAATACTTATTTTTTGAATCATGTTTACATCAAAAATATTGAAAAATCATCAAGGATTTTTCCCGCTGCAAAAGAAAAATATTTTACATAGTTTCTTTAGGAAACCACATTAAATAATAATAATTGATAAAATTATCCATTCCTTGTTGAAATTTCGATTGAAATCTCATTATTCACATCATACTATGAGCATTAAATTAGAATTAATGGAGGATGTCGGATGATGTAATTTTATTATATTAAGTGCCAATTTAATGCTAATTAAATACTTCACTACTTGGACAGCATGAGACAAGATCTCTCTTTCTTCAGTCGTAGACTTTCCGATTTTCTAGTATTTTCCATTCCCCATTGAAATTTGTATTCAAACTTTGATAATTACAGCATACTTTAATAATAATAATAATAATAATGTCTTTATTCCCACAAAACAAGTTGCAAAACCAGTTTTATATGAACATATAGTGGGAGGGGCGAAGTTCGGCATATCCGCTCTTCCACTTAACCCCTGGTTTTAGGTTTACATCATAATAAGATAAGCATATATATAAATGAGGTAAAAAGATATATATGTATAAGCAGTATCAGAGAATGGACCCTAGCGGCTAATTTGATAAATGGTACTATAAAAATACATAATGACTCCAAAGCCATGCCATACCATGCAATTACCTGCAATGTAATAGCGTATACGTTTTTTAAACAAATCAATAAAAAGAGTATACTGTCGCGGGATATTATTATAAAGTTTACTGATATTATACGAAAAAGATCTTTCGAATAAGGTGGTAGAATGAAAAGGCGGTGTCAGTTTTGTTTTGTTGCGGGTATTGCGATTGTGAGCTAAGTAACGGAAATGAATTTGAATCGGGAATTAATCTAAAATACCGGATAGTTTTTCTGTAAATTGCATGTACTGCTTGAATTTCAATTTTTTTTTTGATTTTTCAATTTTCTACGGAAATTGACTCGGCTAGAATAGAATTAAGTGCTCATTTAATGCTAATTAACTGCTTCACAAGAAGTCTTTTTTTATTACTTGGAGCAACATGAGACAAGATTTTTCATCAATCGTTGATTTTCCGATTTTCTTGTATAGATTTTTCTCCTTCTCGTTGAAATTTAAATTGAATCCTCGATACTCACAGCATACTACGAGGAAAAAATTAGGAATATAATGGGAAATGCCAAATATAAAAATGTTTTTTGTAAATTACATGCTTTGCTGACTTAGGTTTCAAAATCCATCGTCAATTTTCTGATGCTTCCAGGAAACTGTCTCGATTAACATTAAATGCTTATTCAATGCTAATAAAATGCTGCCCCAGTTCTTTCATATTTCATAAAAATCCATTCTGTATAAAAAATACCTGTATCAAGACTGAATCATTTTTGTAATTTCTCCCCCCTATTGACTCATATGCATTAATTCTTTTTTTTTTTCTCCATTTTTATAGTAATTCAGGGTGTTTAATCTCAGATATCAACCTAATACAGCTCAATATTTAGATTTTTGGATACAATTTGTTAAGCAATAAAATATCAGTTTCTTTAGAAAATTGTAAAATGAAGGAATATTTTGAAATTCATGTTAGCAGAACATGCAAACAAAAATTTTCCGGCATTTTAGACTAACTCCTAATTCAAAATGCTTCCAGTATGCTGTAAACAACTAAATTTCAATAAAAATCTCAACTGCTACAAGTAATGGAAATACTTAATACTTTTAATGAAGCATTTAATTAGCATCCAACTAGGTCTGTAAAGTTAGCCTAGAAAAGTCTGGGCTGTAAAAAAACGATGTGCCATACGATTTTCTATCGTTTTACCACAAAAACTTTTCGTTTTCCACCAGTAACAAAAAAATTGCAAATAAAAATTCTGGGCAAAGTTCACGTAGCTTAGATTTTCCAGATTATGTAAAATGATCATTACACATCTTTTATTCATCGTTTTACCACGTTCTTCCACCAAAAATTTTCGGTTTTCCACCTTTAGGTCACGAATCAGTCAGATTAAAGAAAAATGAGCACGCATGGATTTTCCTTAGTTTTATCATGTTTTTCCAACTCTGAATAACGAAAAAAATGAGAAATGATTTTTCAGAGTCATTTGACGTTAGCCTAGGAATTTCTGACGGAAATCTCCAGAAATTCGGTCTTTTACAGCCTAAGACTTCTTTTCTATCGTTCAACCTACTCTTTTTCGCTACCAAAAAAAACTTTTTCCACCTGACTAATATGGAAAATTGAAAACAAGAAGTTAGGGTCACACGTAGATAGCCAGCATTTACTAAACCTTTTGTATACGTGTCCAGGCTACGTGGAAATTATCACAAATCGTTTTTCCATCCGAACACCTCGATTTTACAACAGAAATTTTTCGTTTTTCCACCTTTAGTTAATGAGGAAAATTGAAAACAACAAATCAATGTCAGACTAGATAGCTTCAATTAACTCCAGCTTCTCGGAAATGTCCAGGCTACGTGGAAATAATGGCGAATCTTTTTTCCATCCTAACATTTCGATTTTCCACCAAAAGTTTCCGTTTTGTCACATTTAATTAATAGAAAAAATTGGAGCTAACGACCTCTCGTTTTCAATTTTCCATGTTAGTGAGGTAGAAAAGGTTGTTTTGTGGTGAAAAAGAGTGGGTAGTAGGATAATAAAGAAGTCTAGCTGTAAAGAAACGAATTCGTGGAGAGTCCCGTCCGAAATATCTAGGCTAACCTCAAATTTTTCGATGTTCAATGGTGGAAAAACCAATAATTTGGTTGGAAAAACATGGTAAAACGATGGAAAATCGATGTGTACTCATTGTTTTTTAAATAGTACTGATTCTGGGAAACTGCACATGTTCTTGTTTGATTTTTCTCGTAACCTAAAGCTGAAAAATTTTTGGTGGAAAAACGTAGTAAAACGATGAAAATTTTTAACTAGCTTTTGATTCTAGTCAAGTCCTTTTCCTTGGAATATTGAAAAATGAACGAAAATATTTAAATTGAAGAGTTAACATGAAATTAATTTACAAATCTTCATTCCTCGGAAAATTGAAAAATGAACGAAAATTTTGAAATATATTTAGCAGAACATGTAGTTTACAAAAGAAATTTATCCGGAACTTACGATTAACTCTTGATTCAAGTCTAGTCAGTTTTCGGAGAAAATCGGAAAATAGTCGAAACTTTCAAAACTTAAGTGAGCAGAACATGTCATTTACAGAAAATCGTTCATCTGGTATTCTCAATTTCAATTGGGAATAGAATTTTATTAATAATATGATTATTTAATTCCAATTTATAACAAAATTTCACTCATATGAAAAAAAATGATTAGCAATTTTTAATTATCTGACTACAGAACCTTCATTACTAATTATTCAACACATTTGCAGCATAGTGATCATTTTTTCAAAAAGTAGGATAGCATCAAATTTTCCTTTTGGGCATTAATTAACCCTTTGGCTGTGACCCACCAAAAGTGACTACTTCGTCCAGAGCGGCACCTATTTTTTATTTCAGAATGTATTTCTACTTTACAACCATATTCAAATTCACACAAAAATAATAATGAAAAAATGTAAAAAATAAATGGATGTAAATTATGGAAATAAAAAAAATATATTATCTGAACATTATAAAATGGCTAATAATTCTGTGAGTTTAACTGGATTTTTGAATGTGAGCATCCTTTTTTTGACTGCTATATCATTCATGGTTCGCGAACTTAATAAACAATACTAAAAACTGAACTAATTTTACTTAATCTCATACCCCTACAACACGCTACTTGCGATAAATCAACCTTAAAGCAGTGCTCATAAAGTAATGCTGAATGACGTAAGCTGCAGCGTCAGCGTAGCTAGAGGCTGCCCTCAGGACGGAGTTCTGTTACCCCTACTGTGGTGCATCGTGGTAAATGAAATCCTCATTAGGCTCAGCAGTGTGGGTGTCTACGTGCAAGCCTATGCTGATAACGTAAGCATAGTAGCTAGGGGACGTTTTTGTAGAACAGTCTCGGAAATTATGCAGGGCGCTCTGCGCTTTGTGGAATCGTGGTGTAGGGAAGTCGATCTTTCTGTTAATGCTGAAAAGACCGAGCTGATCCTATCCACTAGGAGAAGAAGGCTTGACGGGCTGGTCATGCCGACCTTCTTTGGGACTACATTAATTCTATCCCAATCAGTGAAATATCTGGGAATTATCCAGGATTGCAAACTGAACTGGAGAGAGCATGTTGAATACAAGGTTAGCAAGGCCTCTCAATTCAATGTGGGCCTGTAGACGTGTTGTCGGTGTAAGGTGGGGGCTTAAGCCCAAAGTGGTACACTGGCTCTACACGACGATAGTACGTCCATCTCTCTTGTACGGCTCCCTGGTCAGGTGGCCTTGCATTAGAACTGAGAGAACTAAGGCCAAACTCAATAAAATTCAGCGTTTGGCCTGTATTAGCATTACAAGCGTAGTGCGAACAAGGCCATTGAGTGCAATGGAAGCTCTGTTGGATCTCCCACCGTTGGATCTGGTGATCCGCGGTGACGCGAGAGTAGTCGCTCATCGACTGTGGAGTCAGGACAGCTGGGCTTTCTTAAATCCTGTCAAGGGGCATACTGCCATCTTAGTCGAATTGCAAAGGGAGGACCCCGTCCTTCTAAGCAGGGGTGATCGCTTCAACCGCAAGTTCATTGTGGAGTATCCAACGAGGGAGGAGTGGGACGCCGGTAGCCGGGGACTCTCCGGAGTGAGCGGGCAGGTCTGGTACACGGACAGCTCGGTCACCGAAGAGGGCTCAGGTGCTGGGGTCTCTGGGCCTAGAACTAGGCTATCTCTGCCTCTTGGTGGATACACCACTATTTTCCAGGCGGAAATCTTTGTGATTCTGGCTTGTGTATCTCATATTCTGGAGCAGGGTGGGCCTAGGAGAAGAATAACAATCCTATCCGACAGCCAGGCTGCAAAGAAAGCACTAAGTGCCTGTAAGATAACTTCGAGTCTTGTATTGCAATGCAGGGAGGCTCTGGATTGCCTCGCAGCGAGGCATCCGGTATCGTTAATGTGGGTACCGGGGCACGCTGGGATAAGGGGCAATGAGACGGCGGACACTCTGTCGAAGACAGGATCAGCCAGCAAGCTCGTAGCGCATAGAGCTAGGAGGAAAATGGAGACGTGGGTTGCAAGACAACACTCGCAGAAATGGAGAAGTATTTCCAGATATCTCCGCCAGGCACGGGAACTCATTGAAGGGCCCAGTGCTAAGGATAGACGTTTCTGCCTATCTCTGGATAGAGCCAACCTAACATTGCTGGTGGGACTGTTGTCTGGCCATAACACGTTAAGGCGCCACCTGTACGTGATGAGGGTGGCTGAGGATCAATTGTGTGAACGCTGCGGGTTAGAGGAAGAGACCTCGGCGCACGTTTTGTGTCGCTGTGAAGCTCTGAGCTACTATAGGCAGACTATACTGGGATTCATTACTTTGGACCCTCAGGACGTCAAGGAGCTTGGACTGAAGGCGATTCTCAACTTCGCTAAAAGGGCAAGGCTTGTGATCTAAGGAATGTAGAGGTGCATAAGGGCCCGCTTAAGTGGCCTATGCACTGGTTCCTTATGGTGGCCCGGAATGCCTTTAATTTCAAGATTCATTCATTAATTCAATGGTCGTTGGTGTACTGGCATACCTAGGCATACATGTGTGACAGCCACACCATGAGTAGAACTGTACTGGCGCACATGTATGCCATGAGACACAAGGGTTAAGCACTAATTGAGCTCTTAATTAAGCAATAATCAAACTTTTGTTCTGCTGACATTAATCTGCTAATTTTAGGGACATGTTTTGTTGCCAGCCACTCAAAGATATTGAAAAAGAAAATCATGAACATAAAACTAAAATGTTATGTTCATGCCTCAAAATGTTGTCTAATTGAAGGTTTAATTTTTTTATATTATGACACATGATTTTAAAATCAATCAAGAAAGTTAACATCTATGGGCCCCACCTGAACTCAAATTCTATATATACAACTGCTGTAGCATAATTAGATATTATGAAGTTATACTATTAGTGGATTTATGCTAGTTTTTTTAAGTATACTTACAGTGGAAATATGACTAAGTATCTTATTAAAATTAGTATACCCTATTTCACGAGTATCCATCACGCTTTGACATCTACTGAGGTGAACAGCTGATCAGCAAGTGACATTTTTGTGTTAGTCTGCGATGTTAGCAATAATTAGTCGGGTGTAAATCTAGTAAAACTTGTTTGCAGTGTTTTGTTTTAACCTGACAAAAAAAAATCTTATATTTTATTTGACAAAGAACTTCAAATATTTTATAATAATGGCAAACTCAGAAGCATAAAGCTATCTATATGAAAGGCTAAGTCTGGATAACTGCACTGTTCTATTGGAGGATCAACATTAAACACAAATGCTTTGACCTCAATGATTATTGGGTAGGTTAAATATTGTGTTTGTATAGTTTATGACACTGATAGTTTATCAATGTTTTATTATCATGTGATTTACTGATAATGGCATTGTAGTCAGTACTGAATTTGAGATTATTTTAACATATCATTAAGACATTAACTACATGGAAATAATAAAGGTTTGTACCTTCCTTGCCATCTATATGAATCAGACTGTTGTAGATAGAAGTTCTGGGGGCTAACTTGAACTCGTCTTTGTGCCATAGGTAGTCCTTGGTATACTTCTCTATAACTTTGTTGGCTTCCAATAAAATGCTTCTTAGTATTACTTCTTGCTCTTTTTTCTCGATTGTATCAATTATAGGAAATAAATAATATTCAACAAAATCGTCTTCCCTCGTGAATTCTAGCACGTTTTTAGACCCTGCCATTATAACGATTTAAATTCAAATAGTAGTTTTAATAACTACCTACTACATTATGTTCTTTGATTTTCAGGAATTAATTGTTTAACGACATTCAAAACACATTCCATCTACTGACAGCGTTGGCCTTGACCTCCCATATGAACCTTTGACAGGGAACAGAAAAAGGAATGTTTCCATGTACATCGCCATTTTGCAGGTTATCATACCGTATTAGGCTGGCCACACACATTTTACAACGTAAAAAATATTGAATTACTATCTCAAAATTCAAGTTTCAAATTCTCTTAATGTAACCAGTAATTGTTAGCAGTTTTGAGGGAGTGCAAGAATTAGTATTTTTTTTTAAATGAAGGTAGGTATGATAAACAAAAATATTTAATTGTAGAACAAAATATATGAATATAATATACAAATTAAAAGTCATATTATTTCATATCGATAAGTTCCTCTAGTTGCTTGATGGTATCATAAGGTCCAGATACTTTCTTCCCAGTTACTCGTTTATCAATGTAAATTTCATGATCATTCCCTCCTTGATCTGTCTTATCTCCAAAGAAATATATTTCATCAAACCCTTCATTTTCTAAGTACTGTAAGCAATAAGACTTATCCCAACCAGTTGGAAACACGTCAAAGCTGATCTGCCCACCAATGCTGTATGTAAAGCTAATATCTGGAAACTGCTTTTTCAAATTATCGATCATTGATTTTCGGATTTCATGTTGTTTGTCATACTGTTCAAATGCATCCCTTTCTTCTTGTGAACAAGACCTTCCTACTGGTGAAATGTTCAACATACCAGCTCTAAATTCTACAAATGTTCCTCTCTTCACAGGAAGAGTTATTGTTGATAAATAATACAGGACATAGTTGATGAATTGTTGTAGTTTCTCTTCACCAACATGTTTTTGTATGTTTTGTCTTCCAACTTCTTTACCATGCTTAAATTGCACCAACCCATTTTCGGGGAAGACATAGTCGAACTCGTGGATTACATTGTCTCCACCCATTTGCTCAGCAACTTTTTTAAAATCTGATCCACTCACTAATCCCAACTTAGACACAGGTTTCAGCTTTTCTTGTAAAAAATCGTGAATTTCATTATCTATTGGTCTTCTGGCCTTCGTTAGAGTCCCGTCCACGTCGAAAAGACACAGTATATTCTTACCCATTTTTGAAATTCGCTCCATAAAGGTGAAAGTACAAAAATGTGGTGGTGTAAAGGTCTAGCAATAATCCTCACAGTTTCATGGGTAAAATGTGCGGAAGAAAGCGTGAAAGATAAAAAACTCAATGTATTATTGATGTTGGGTGAGTTGGATTATGATGAATCAGTTAAAGTAATCAAGAAATTCCACGTATTCACATTTATCCATTCACACATCCATAAGTGAGGTTATATTTATTTCTCTATTTGTCAAACCATAAAAAGAAATGTGTGAACTAGTGAACCAGATTTGAATTTTTGGGTTTTGTTATTAATCCTTAAGGATATAGGCGGGGATACGTTTATAAATTAAACCAAAATATATTTGAATTCACTCAAGTAGTAGTATATGCAACAGAGTAGGACATGAGAAGAAAAATGCATTTCCTAAAACTGCTCGGACCCTATCTTTATTTAACAATTAGTATATACGTGTTTAACTAAGCTTATTTTTTTTAAAAGTCTAATAGTCAAAATGAAGATCGTGTGAAGGGTGTTTATGAGTTCTTAAACATTTCTCTATAATGCTTTTCATTGTTGATGGCAGGTTTCTGATACGTGGTGATCAAATCTTTTGTCGACTTCATGTTTTGCGTTTATTATAATGACCAAGGGAAAACATTTATTTTTCTTTTATAGCCGACGATGCTGGGTTTGAAATCAATGCGTACGGAAATAAAATATGCCAAACACCAAATCTAAATAAACTCTCCAGGGATAGTTTAATCTTCAATTATGCTTTCACTTCAGTCAGCAGTTGTTCACCAAGGTATATATATATATCTCTTTTTCGCCGTGTAAAAATAATACAATATTTGTGCATACTTTTTGACATCATTTATTTCAGCCGAGCAGCTTTACTAACTGGTAAACCATCGCATCAAAATGGAATGTTTGGATTACACCAAGCAGAAAATCATTTTGATTCGTTTGACAAAATAATGAGTCTACCAAAGATTTTAAAACAGCATGGAATAAAAACAGGTGGGTCAATATATGAACATGTAAAAAATGATATCCAAGTAGTCATCAAGCAAGTCATAAGACTGAATTTGTTATATAAAAGAAGCACCTGAGAACCAGTTTTGTTCTCATTGGCCAAAAACGAAACGAACGTCATTAATAAATTTTGGAGTATTGTGAAGTTTAATTTGGGACAGAAAGTCAGTCGTTTGGCCGCTCTCGTCAGCAGATTTATCTCGAAACCCAATTTTCATCCACATCACAACTTAGTAGATTATGAGAGTTTTTCTCATATACGTCTTATAAATTATAACTAGGATCCGATCAGCCACAGTTTGGCCAGAAGATATACACCTTCGGTCGTACATTCAGCCTTTTTATGATTTCGGAAAATCTGTTCCTAGGATGTAAATTACTTCGTATTTCTTTCTATTTCCAGGATCACAATGTAATGTTTTAAATTACTTTTATTCCTACCCAGGAAATTGTCATCATCAAGTTTTTTTTTCTAATTCGCACTAAAATTAAAACTTAAAAAAAGAACCAACTGCACAAAACTTCGTTTGATATATTCGGTTTCGACTGAAGGTTGTATCAAAAGCCAAACATCTGCTTTGGCCAAAAAAATCTTCGTTTGGACCATTCTTATTGTTAACCGGCAAATTCGGTATACTTGGGATAATGAATTTGAATGTGATTGTCAGAAAATGTCGTAAAGCAAAGGTCACACCCTGCACAATGATACCCAAAAATAAAATAATTTACTTGAAGGTATAATTGGGAAGAAACACGTGGGCCCCGAGAAAGTATTTCCATTCGATTTTGCCGAAACAGAAGAAAATAATTCCATACTTCAAGTAGGAAGAAATATTACGCTTATGAAATTATTGACGAGAAAGTTTTTGAATGAAACTGGAGCTAAGTAAGCGTTTTTATATACATATCTTGATATATTTTATATGTGGACAATATGTAAGAGGTGATGTGTTATTTTGTCATATGAGTAATTAATTTTTAACATTGGTTAGTGAATCTTTGATCCAGGTTTTATGATCGTAAGATCCCCATCTTTAGTATTATCATGTACAGGTAGCAAAAATAGAGTGAATCTGCTTGTCTCAATTTATTGCTCTTGATTTTGTGAAATTAAGTATATATACTTTCAGTCCGTTCTTTCTTTATATTGGATTCCACGACCCTCATCGCTGCGGACACACACATCCGCAATTTGGCGAATTTTGCGAGCATTTCGGAAATGGTGACTCTGGAATGGGCTTAATACCTGACTGGCACCCAATCTATTACCAACCAGAACAAGTACAACTCCCATATTATCTTCCAAATACTTGGGATACTAGGGTTGATGTTGCTGCCCAATATACAACTATGTCGCGACTAGACCAAGGTAGTAGTAGCAACAGTACCTTAGACCAGTAGCACACAATGCGTTATGGTACTATCTTCCAGTCTGATACTTGACTATGGGTTGGACTAAAAATATAAATATAATTGTAGGTGTTGGATTGATACTGAAAGAATTAGAAGATTCAGGTCATTTGAATGACACTTTGGTCATCTTCACTTCCGACAATGGTATACCATTCCCAAATGGCAGAACAAATCTTTACGATTCTGGAATAATGGAACCCTTGTTCATCTCATCTCCATTGCACAAAGAAAGAAAAGGACAAGTTACTAGTTCTTTGGGCAGTCATTTGGACCTCATGCCTACGATCCTGGATTGGTTCGGAATTGAGAAGAGGTTGATGGTCGAAAATAATGAAGTTAATGGACATGACTTAACAGGACGAAGCCTATTGGATCTCCTTGTAGAAGGTAATTTTCTATTATGTTAAATCCGATTTACTGTTCTTGTCAATAGTTTTAATGATTTTGAAAGTGCACGTTCACGCTTCTTGCGTTTTCTGGACGAGATTCTGTATGGGACAAAAATCTTTGCTTGTTGCACAGTCAAGCAAGCTATTTCAAGATGTGTGAATTTGAATGGTTTCTCACTCTCTCGTTATCGGGTTCCGCGTTTTTGAGCATTATCTCATTCAAACTCTGTGAATGCCCGAGAAATATGAGTGTGAACAGTTTCTCACCCTTTTTACTGCTTCTCGTTCTCGAGTGTTTGAGTCCTATATCACTCTACACTTTACATCAATTCATTTACAGAGCCAAAGGACAAATCAAATGAAGTGATCTATGCCAGTCACAATCTGCATGAAATCACAATGTATTATCCAATGAGAATGGTTAGGACTCACCAGTACAAACTGATACACAACATTAACTATTATAGTCCATTCCCAATTGATCAGGATTTTTACTTATCTCCAACATTTCAGGTAGCTATATGTTGAGTCCTAATTAGCTATTTGAGAATCTTTTTAGCTGAACGTCAGATTTAATGTGACTAGAACTCAATTCAGAACTGTGCTTTGTTTTATATTTCATGTTTTTTTTATTAATATTATAATTTTTTTAGGATATGTTGAACAGAACTAAAAACCATGAATATCTGTATTGGTTCAAAACTTTGGAGCAGTATTACCGGCGTCCAGAGTGGGAGTTATACAACTTAAAACATGATCCTGAGGAACTGAATAATATTGTCAAGAAAAACACTTCTCAGGAGGTCTTCATGTCATTGAAGAATAAATTGAATGCTTGGCAAAAAGCAACACATGACCCTTGGTTATGTGCACCTCATGCTGTTTTGGAAAATAAAGGATCATATAAGAACAATATGCAATGTTTGGATTTAGACAACGCAATATAACAATCTAAAGATTAGCTTTCATTCTGAAAATCTAGTTACATACTGCTCTCTGCTTCTTCTTTTAGCTGTAAGATAAAATTATAGTTTATAATGAATGTATGTCATTAGTACAAATAAAGAAATGCAAAATTAATGATTATCATTTATTATCTATTGGAAAAGCAAGTTGGTACTCTACTACAAACAATTGAGTGTAAAATATCAAGTAAGATTGACTTGCGATAAGGTCTACAGTTTTTGATTTTTACAAGTTCTAAGGCAAACATTCTTAAAATTTTAAAATTTGCTACTTAAAAATTCGATAAAAATATTTGTGCAATATCAATTAGATAATGGTAAACATGGCTCAACATCTAACAACAAATAAAATAAGCTACATTAAAGTACATAAAGCAACCATATTAACATTAAATTCGAACAGCAAGATATATCACACTAGATAAAGTTGATACACAGCCATAATTATGTAACCTTTAACCTGATCTTGTTATACTTGTAGGATTTCATAGTTTTATCCATTTTATTTATTAAACTATTGGTATGATTAGCTAGCCTTTCAACAAGGTGGACTGCTTCTTGGACATCATTAATCTATAACAAATTTTTGATTATAAATATTTTAATAATGATAATCTATATTTCAAATTGTATAATTACAGAAATTGTATAGCCACTACAAAATGAAATGTTGCCTATCACCATAACTATAGTAGTTTACCTCTGACCTTTTTTTTTTTGTTACATGGTTATTTATCTTAAAACAGCTACAATCGAATTATTACAACTCACATAGAACTAATCTATGGTATAAGGCTTTGACTGTACTAGAAATTGCTAAATGGTATTTTTAAATTTATGTAAAGTGTTTATGTTTTTAATTTCATTTGGCAGATTATTGAAAATTTTAAACACGTGTGAATAGAGCTTTTTTTCTATGGCAGATAATCTATGTATTGGATAACTAACATTGACTGTTATCATCATAAACAGTTTGCACCTCATGCTCAAATAAATTATTATTTTTGAAATGAAAATATGACACTCAGACACATAGATGGCATACATAGTCATGATTTTATCAGTTTTAAATACTCCCCTGCAAGATTCATTGAAATTTAGTCCCTTTATCAGATGTACTGCTCTTTTTTGAACAACAAAATTTTGTTAGATAAACCTATTGCGTCACAAAAAATGATCCCATATTTTAGAACTCTTTCAAAATTAGCATAGAACAATATTTTCATACTCAAATTATTTAGATACCTTGATGTTACCCTAAAACCATAGCAAATTGAATTAACCCTCTTCAGCAGTTCGAATACATGAACATGTGTTGTCCAATCTAAAAATTTCATCAATATAGATGCCTAAGAATTTTACATTTTCACTCAACTGCAATTAATGATCATCTATATTGATACATTGTGGTTAAATGATTTCATCAATCGTATATCTCTTACAGGAGGATAGTAGTCTAACTCTGAAACTACTTGTATAGATATTTGCTTCTCCAACTTTTCTTTTTAAGAGTTATTTCAAAGTATTGCTTACAAGCATCCAGTAGCTTATTGACCAGTAAAGAAACGGATTTAGGGAATTTCTGGTAAAAACATTGATAATCGAAAGTAAAAGTGATTGAAATCAGCTATAGGCAGAACTGTAAATGCCTGCTCAGTGTTTAGGATATTGAATCTCTGAATAAGCCACTCACCCGTTGTGTGTATTCAAGGAACCGTAGGTTTTGCTGATGATTATTATATAATACTTTTATTTGCAGGACAAATCCAGCTGCTAACAACAGGCTACATACAATAAACAAATTATTAGCTTGGAAAATCCTCTGACGACAGCACAACATTCCTGAATACTGTAGGACATGTTTAATATTGTACTTGATGTTTTCCGAGTATTTGCAAAAGCATTTTCGGTGGTGTCTACCGTATTTTTACTTTTTACGCTATAAACAAACCACCTGCGATACAAATAAGCAAATGTCAACTATCACTTGCATATTTATATGTCAACTGTCACAAATTTGTCAACAAACATGTGATTAATCAAATTCAAGCTGATAACCAAATGAAAATGTTATTTACCATTTTGGGTTGGTAATTACCGATCCGTTCAAGCGAGTGTGGTTATAAGTCCGTGACGTCATGAATCAGCTGTTATATGTCATAGTTATCACCGTAAAATTGTGATATTTACCATTTACCCAACTCAGAATCAAATTCAAGCGGATAACCAAATGGAAATGGTATTTACCATTTTGGGTTGGTATTTACCAATCCGTTCAAGCGAGTGTAGTTACTAGTTTGGTTATAAGATCCGTGACGTCACGAATCAGCTGTTATATGTCATAGTTATCACCGCAAAATTGTGGTATTTACCCAACTCAAGAGTAGTTTTATATTTCTGGTTATTATTTGAATTTGGGAAAAATGATACAGGCTGACTTCCGTTTTACCATACAGTGGAGCACCTTATTAGTTATACTCATTACGGTTGTTGGGGACACTTTAAATGTAGTTCCTATGCTTAACAAAGTATCCTGTGTAGCCATATACCACAAGAATATTAAAATATGGACATATAAACTCGCTAGATGATATCCACCTGTATACGGTTTTGCTAATTTCTTTTTTCATCATTTCTGCTGAATCAATAAATGTTTTCTTTGACATGCGGAAACATTTAGAGAACTGAAAGTAATCATAGCTACAAAGCCATAGTTCCATCATTAAAAAAAAATCTGAAAAAACATTTCTCCCATGAATATTATGAAAGGTTTCTTATTTAAACTTTCCATATACAGTTGTAGACGAAGAAGCACCGATTATTAAGTGATAATAAAAATAATCGGAGATTATATACGCGCTTTTCTAAAATAAACAACTTGCAACAAAACCGCGGTTAAAACCAACGCGTTCAAGCGATTCGTGTAACTGACGTCATCAACCCGTGTGTCATCTTGAACCATATTATAACCGCGGCACATAACACAGAAATTTTGGTTATTCGCTTGGATTTGATTCAGGAGTTGTTTTATATTTCTGGTTATTATTTGAAATGTGACATGTTAGAATTTTGCCGGGTATTGGATATTGTTATTGTACTTCATTTTTGGGAAACTTGATACAGGCTGACTTCAGTTTTAATATAAAGTGGAGCACCTTTTTAGTTATACTCATCACTGTTTTTGAGGACACTTTAAATGTAGTTCCTATGCTTAACAAAGTACCTATCCTGTGTAGCCATATACCACAAGAATATTAAAATATGGCCATATCCATATAAACTCACTAGATGATGTCCACCTGTATTCAGTTTTGCTAGTATCTTTTTTCATCATTTCTATTGAATCAATAAATATTTTCTTTGACATGCGGAAAACTTTAGAGAATTGAAAGTTATCATAGCTACAAAGCCATGGTTCCATCATTAAAAAAAATTTTTTTTGAGAAAGAAAACATTTCTCCCATGAATATTATGAAAGGTTTCTTTTTTAAACTTTCCATACACAGTTGTAGACGAAAAAGCACCGATTTTTAAGTGATAATAAAAATAATCAGAGATTATATACGCGCTTTTCTAAAATAAACAGTTTGCAACAAAACCGCGGTTAAAACCTACGCGTTCAAGCGATTCGTGTAACTGACGTCATCAACCCGTGTGTCATCTTGAACCATATTATAACCGCGGCACATAACACAGACATTTTGGTTATTCCCTTGGATTTGATTGGGACGTATCTAGTTGTGGTGTCCCAGCGGGGGGTGAAACTCATGATAGGCGTATTTTTTAATTCACCGGTTGAGCCACCGCACCGGTGCAACCAATTATCCAATTTTACTTCCTTTAATTTCCGTCTGAGCGACCGGTTGTACACCAAAATTGTCTATAAACTATATAGATTGTCTATAAACTATATATTTCCCATATCCCACCAAATTATATATATATATATATATATATATATATATATATATATATACAGAGTGTCCGCAAAGTTGGGGTTTTCCTTTTCAGAAACAACTACCCTTGAAATAACAAAGATAATGTGTAGTGAAATGAGGGCGACCAAGTAAAACAAAATAAAGGAAAAAGTGCTCACTCTCCAGTTGATGAGAAGGGCTAAGTACGTCTCTGCCCGAAATCATACCGCTCCAACAGAAAATGAAATCAGCTGATGCGCTACCGAGCAGACGCAGAAACCACATTGATTGTCTTATTCACCGAAAATGTTTGTTGAAAATGTGTCCGACGGACAGCGTGCGGACTTCCTACTGACCAAACATGAGTGTTGCGAAAGTTATTCACCCCATTACGCGTGAACGTAGATTCGTCTGTCACCAATATGCACTTCAAAAAGTCCGGATTATTGTCATGTTGATGCAACAACCACACACAAAACCGCACTCTTGCTGGAAAATCGTCAGGTTGAAGGACTTGTACACGTTGGACGTGAAACGGATACAGCCCCTCTTCACGCAGCGTTTGCCACACTTTAGTTTTTGATACTTGCACTTCTCTAGCCACGTCTCTAGTGCTTGTTGAGGGATTCTCGTCTACGCGATTACCTCTACACGCGTGACCGTAACCGTCGGTTGAAGGTTGCATAGTGACCTGACACACTGACCCCGACCCAGTTCTGTCGTCGGGTTGAGCCAGTCACCTTGTACCAGTCGGTGATGTCGCGGCTACAGGACAGTATTCAGATATTTTTGATGTTGCAGAGCCCTTTATCTCGGTTCCCTTAAGACATTGGTGTATATGGTACTAAGAAAAATTGCTTATGTTTTCAAGATCTACACGTCGTGTAAAGGAAAACCCCAACTTTGCGGGGATATATATATACAGGGTGACTTTGAAGTTGAGTCATTAATTTTCAGATAATGATTGTAGAAGGAAGATAAACCAAAATATGTGTGTAAAAATAAAAAAAAAATAAAAAAAAAATTTTACCTTGTTTTATAAAGTATCCTCCCGACAAGTATTTCAGTGCGGACCTGTATTTGATCGTGAGGTCCCCTGTGAGGTCTTAAGTCACCTGATTCACAAGCCCGTTGTACTACATTAACAAAGGCACGAGGGGTTGGTTGCACTCGATTGGGAAACCGATCCGCATAAACATGTGCCATTTTTTATTTCGTTTGAGCCACGCAACACATACCACTATTCACTGACACTAACTGTATACAAATGAATGAGATACCTGTAAAAACATCGTTCCAAATTCTTTCGCTTTTTTGTTTCCGATGCGATGAACCGATACGGCGGATTATATCCATTGTCGCCAAACACGACCACATAATATTGTTATTGAGACAGGGCGGTACTCAAACTTCCAAAGGGCTATAACTTTGTTACTTTAATTTTACCAGGAAAATGGTAAAGGAAAAAAACATTTCTTTTGATCAGATCTACTCACTGTTAAAATAAATGACTCAACTTCGAAGTCACCCTATATATTTATATCTTTCATATGTTTTATTAAATATGACTCGATAAAGCTTCTTACTTTATTTGTACTATAAAATTTCGATCACCATATGGAATTTAAAATGGCGTTATTTGCTTATGCTGTTTCTCTCATTAAACCCTTTCACTTAATACCCATATCATACCACGGAAATTATACATCGCCATTTAGCGACGGCACCCATATTGGATCTAGAATGACGCTTATTATGTTCCCACATCAAGACCATTTTTCTGGTAAAATTAAAGTAACAAAGTTATAGCCCTTTGGAAGTTTGAGTACCGCCCTGTCTCAATATCATGTGCTCGTGTTTGGCAACAACGGATATAATCCGCCTTACCGGTTCATCGCATCGGAAACAAAAAAGCGAAAGAATTTGGAACGATGTTTGTGTACAGTTTATTATTTTATTCAGTTCAGTTATACATACAATCAGTGTCAGTGTCGCGTGTGAATAGTGTCTGTTGTGTGGCTCAAACGAAATAAAAAATGGCACATGTTTATGCGGATCGGTTTCCCAATCGAGTGCAACCAACCCCTCGTGCCTTTGTTAATGTAGTACAACGGGCTCGTGAATCAGGTGACTTAAGACCTCACAGGGGACCTCACGATCAAATACAGGTCCGCACTGAAATACTTGTCGGGAGGATACTTTATAAAACAAGGTAAAAAAATTTTTTTAATTTTTTTTTTATTTTTACACACATATTTTGGTTTATCTTCCTTCTACAATCATTATCTGAAAATTAATGACTCAACTTCAAAGTCACCCTGTATACAGGGTGTTTCAGTTTATTGTTGCATAACTTTAAGATTCGATAGAACTTTTAAAATTAATGCATAAAGTCTATATAAACATGGGTCGAAAAATGCGGGGCTTCCGAAATACAGGGTGTTTAAATTTACTTTCTAAAATAGTCTTTTTTGAATATTTCGAACAATATTTGATGTACAACAGTGAAAATTGGTATACAAGGGTTTTTTAGTACGACAAAACGAACCATGGGCATAGTTTTACTGTAGCCGCTAGAGGGCGCTATCTACTGCACCTGTAGTGTATTAAAATGACCGAAATTTTTTTCTTAGTACAATTTTTTGCTTTTTGAACAAAAAAACTGATTTTTTTGCACTTTTCTGCATAAAAAAGCTCTCCTGTGAGTTTTCGTTATAGTTGGTCGTTTTTGAGATATTTCGATTTTTAAGGTTCGATGCATTTTTAATTATTTATGGAAAAATAATAATTTTGTTTACATTTTCGATTTGGGCATTACAAGTAATTAAGATGATCGTTTAGATTGTGTTTTAAACACAGCAATAATTCCTAACTCCAAATAAACACAAAAAAACAGAATATTAATTTGTTTAATTTTCCAATATTATTTTTAACAAATTAAATTAATTACTCGTATTTACAACTAAAATGCTATTGGATAGTTAGGACAAACATACAAAATCTAAAGTAGTTGCTCGAAATGTAAACCCAATTGTTCAATACACAATTCACATCTACGATTGATCGAACGTGGTATAGCATTATTCAAATAAGGCCTTATTTCATCACGTGCATTCCTGATTCTGTCTATTAGCATATCTCTTGTGGTTACGGGAGTCTGGTACACCTTTTTTTTTAGAAATCTTCACACAAAGGGGATCGTGGAGGCCAGGCGACTGGTCCTCCACGGCCGATCCATCTTTCTGGATAATTTTCGTCCAGCCAGTTTCTAACTATTCTCGAATAATGAGCTGGACAACCAGGCCAATCTTCTTAAATCTAACATAACATCATCCCACATATTTGCATGTTCAGCCTTTAAAAATTCCAAGAAGGTCGCAGCATTTAACCTTGCAGGCAAAAGGTAGGGTCCAAATAGTCGATTACGGTAGATAGCAATCCACACGTTCACACTAAATTCATGCTGAAAATTTCTTTCCCGAACTGCATGCGGATTTTCATGCGACCAAATATGTTGATTATGAAAATTTACCACTCCACGTCTAGTGAAGCATGACTCATCGGTCCATAAAACGTTACTTAAAATTTCCCTATTATTATCAGTTCTGGTAAGGACGTCTATGGTCATTTCTAAGAACACGGTGAACATGGCTTGCTGAAATTCCCAAGGCACCTTTGGAGATTTCCAAAACCATTTTCAATTATTTGGCGATGTACTCTTACAAATACTGAGCGAGTTGGATGTCGTCTGTTTGGAAATCTTCGTGCGTATTCTCTGGCTGCTTCTGCTGCGTTTCCATTTATAAAGCCATACGCAAAATGAATATCCGCTAACTCTTGATTGGAGAATAAAAATGGCATTTTTATAAAACTTACAAAAAAAAAAACAGGTAAAAGAAACTAAATTTCGTGCATTCACAATTGCTAAAAAACGTTTCAGGTTTCAACAGACAACAAAACTAACTGTCAACTGATTGACGTTTAACCTTACTCTGCTTTCAATTTCAAAAATATTTGCAGGCACAGTCTACTTCTGAAAATTATGGGGATACTGACTTTTTAACGTTATTTTATCATAAATAATTAAAAATGCATCGAACCTTAAAAATCGAAATATCTCGAAAACGGCTAACTATAACGAAAATTCACAAGAGAGCTTTTTTATGTCGAAAAGTGCGAAGAATCAGTTTTTTTATTCAAAAAGCAAAAAATTGCACTAAGAAAATTTTTTCGGTCATTTCAATACACTACAGGTACAGTAGAGAGCGCCCTCTAGCGGCTACAGTAAAACTATGTCCATGGTTCGTTTTGTCGTACCAAAAAACCCTTGTATACCAATTTTCACTGTTATACATCAAATATTGTTCGAAATATTTAAAACAAAACAATTTTAGAAAGTAAACTTAAACACCCTGTATTTCGGAAGCCACGCATTTTTCGACCCATGTTTATATAGACTTTATGCATTAATTTTAAAAGTTCTATCGAATCTTAAAGTTATGCAACAATAAACTGAAACACCCTGTATATATATATATATATATATATATATAAAAGTATAGCAATCTCAGATTTATATGTAGAGCTGGCAACGTTGCGGAATAATAATGCACAATCTAAAAACTATTGTCGCACCCTCAAAAAATGGAAGCTGACAACCATACAAGTCACCGTGTTGCCATTGAATAGCATGGAATTAAACCTTCAGTGTATATGCTTTGTGTGTCTCAGTTCGCATAGATTATCTGTTCAGTTCTATTATTAGTTTGTTTTTTGACCAAACCTTACTTTTATGTTTATTGTTTGAGAACCTGATCAGTTTTCATGTTTTCATCTGATTCGTTAAACGTTCTGAAACAGAAAGGAATACAAAGTATAATGGCTGACCCCGTTAAAGCATACAATACTAGGAATAAATCTAAACAGGACGCTGTTAAAGACATCGTCAAGTTTAAAATGAAGAGCAAACCAAAACTACCAGGTAACATGGTTAAAGGAAATTCTGGAATAACTGTGGTGAAAACTACTGCCTCTAAGATCGTTCATAAACGGGATCATGTGGATATTGCGTATGAGGAAAATGAAAAACCCCCAAACAAGAAAAATAAAGACTTATCTATTCCACCAAAATGGGAAGAGGTACTGGCAAATTTACGTATAATGAGGAAAGACTTTGATGCTCCTGTGGATTCAATGGGATGCCACAAATGTCATGAAGATAATGCACCAGCTGAGGTGACCAAATCTTAAATCTCTGAATTATTTCTGTTTCCTTTTCTTGAGTAGGTAGTCAATTTATATTGTAATATTTATGAACCTGTAACTGGATTTTGATCAGAAATTACATTACCCACACTAATGATACCAGATGCCTCGCTGCTAGACAATCCAGAGCCTCCCTGCATTGCATCTTACAAGCACTTCATGCCTTCATTGCAGTCTGGATGTTGGAGAAGATTATTATTTCTTCTCCTAGAGGATTCTTCTTCTAGGCGCTCCACCTCCAAAATGCGGAAGTGCAATTAAATGCACCTTCAAAATGGCCACAAGTGCCACTTTTTGAGGATTGAGAGTCATCTCCAGCCTACTGACCAGATTGTGTAAGGCCAGATCAGTTGACTTTCCAGCTTGGTATGCAAAATTAATGGAATGAACAGCACACCTTACCAGCAGACCATCCCTCAAAAATCTGTCAATTATCCTTTCCAATGTCTTAAGCATAAAAGATGAAAAGGTATTCGGATGAAAGTCCTTTAAGCAAGTATATCTAACTCTGCACAGTTTAGGAATAAATACCAGTTTAGCCTGCTGCCAGCTTCTAGGTGTGTATCCTGTGGCCACACATGCTCGAAACTCCTTCAAAAGGTAAGGAACAACCGAATCCCACCTGTGCTGTAACATGGCTGGAAATGCGCCGTCCAGATCCGGACTTTTGTATGAAGCAAACGAATCGATTGCCTATGCTATCCTTTTGGAGGTGATAATCTCTCTTGTGTGCGTCAGTCCTCCCCTGAGGGCCTATGCAACGGCATGCACTCTATGATTGTTTGCGATACTGTGGAACTGGGAAGGTGCGTATCCATCAGAAGCCTCACAGTACCTTCCTTGGAAGTAGTATTACCTCCCAAGGGATCAGACAGATCTCAATCTTGCTTTAGTATCTTTGCATATGATTCTGTATATTCTACCTGTAGCAGGAATGTCATTAACGGGCTGACAGAAGTTCCTCCAGGATTCTCTGGAGGCCCTTCTAATCTCCTTTTTGTATTCCTGCAACATCTTCTTGTAGTCTTCCTATAGAGGAGAGCAGCTCCTTTGCCTAACTCTACCAACAAGTTTGTGCCCAGCTCATTTCCTATCCTCTAACTCTTTGGATCTGAAGGTTTCATTGCCCTTACCTTGAACTTTGCGTAACAGGTAGTTTTCCTCATACGAAGCTGTGAGATTTTAGATGCTATTTCTAAGACCTTTATTTGGTTCATACCCCAGTAGTTTTGAAATCTGGGATCCTCGTTTGCGACCCCCTAATTCTTCCGTAGTTCTAATGTCCCATGTTATTGCTTGATATTTATTATATGAAGAGTGCAATTTTTAGATGATTAGATATCAAAAACTATTGGCATTAATGTTGAGTAGTCAGACAAAGGACCAAGTAACATTTGCAGCAATGCAAAGGTTGATCTCTCATGGTTGTACTATTGACAATATTCTCAAAACAAGCAATGAAAACTTAGGTGAACTCATAAAACCAGTTGGATTTTGGAAGGTAATTTGATATTTTCTATAGCTACATTGCAGATTCAACTTATCCTGAACTATTGCCTTGAAAATAATCAGGTGGAAAATAGAAAATAATTTATTTCAGAAAAAAGTGGGCTACATAAAGAAAACATCACAGATTCTGAAAGAACAATATAATAATGATATACCAAATACTGTTGAGGATTTATGTAAGCTTCCAGGTGTGGGGCCAAAAATGGCTCATATTTGCATGAGTACGAGTTGGGGACAAGTGTCTGGTATAGGTATGGATTCATTACTATGTAGTGGAATTTTTCACAAAATGACCCTCTTTTTTTGTAGGTGTTGATACTCATGTTCATAGAATATCAAATCGTCTAGGATGGGCCCAAAATAAAACCCCAGATGGAACAAGAAAATGCTTGGAAGGTTGGTTACCATTTGAGCTTTGGGCTGAAGTTAACCATCTGCTGGTAGGATTCGGCCAGCAAATATGCTTGCCTGTGAAACCCAAATGTGAAACTTGTCTGAACAAAGATATCTGTGACTTTGGTGTCAAAAGCATGAAGTCTAAAATGAAATAATTTTAAGATAATGAATATAACAGTATTATAATGCCTTTATATGAGCAATATTTAATAACTCTTTAGTGTTTTATGTTTCTTTTTAAAATATACTTTTGAACTCTCTATTTCTTATTTTTTTGGTTGTAAGAATCAAGAAAATGGATGCAACTTCCGTTAAACACCCGAGTGTGCGAGTCAGTGCCCCACGCAAAACGTAACGTTCCCCTGCCTCTGTCGAAAGATCTTGAACGCGTTGACCCGTTGACACCGGCGCACAGCTTTTATGGAAATCGTCGCCACTAACCGGCAACGCGAAGGAGGCGAGCTGCCCGCGAGAGTCAGAATGTCAGAAGCAAGACGTGACTCGCATGCAAGATATCGTCAAGAGAATACGCAAGGCTGCATCATCAACGTAAAAATATATCGAAATCATGTAGTACATCTTTTAACGTATTGAATCTATCAAGAATAAAAGCAATATTCGGCCCGAGTAAAGATAACATGGCCACGCAAGACAAGTATTGAAATATACTCTACAAGACTACCCATAGCGATTTTTTCTCGAAATGTAGCGTACCGCCTAAAAAATGCAAATGAAGTTGGAAATCTGCCGCCTTGAAGTACTAAATGAACCGTCGTTACCCCGGGATAGACATACTATATACCTCTGGTATTTTGCTAGAATGTTATAAAAAAGCTTTGAATGAAATATTGAGGGATACCAATGGAGATATATAAAATGTGAGGCGTAGCAATGATTGTTTAAAAAACTAAAAAAACTGTTACTTACATTTTGCTTCGCCTGGCGTCTATGCGGCGGAACGTTAATGTCTCTGAACACTTATAAATGCCCAGTTTTATAGGATAAAATACTTTCTGAATACGGGGACTTCTTCCAACAATTAAAAAAAACAATGTTTTATTATGTAAATATACATTTTTATTAACTATTTGATTGAAAATTAATTAACCATTAATAGAAGTACGATTTTCATTTTCTCTACTATTTATTAGGGGAATATGGTTTTTTAGTGATAGCATTCGCACGTGGGCGAGGAAAACCCCTAGAAAAACTCAATCGTCACTGCTGCATTGTATCAGCTGAAGAAAAATCAAGTCATTCCACAATTCTGGCTTCATTTGTACAATCTAAACTCGCCAGCATGCCACAGTTATTAACCTGAAAAAAGTAGCATTGAAGTAACGGTTTATACTAGGGTCATTTTTTAAGTAAGAACCATTTTGTAATCCAGTCAGAGAAATTCTATTTAGGTTTCTAAATTTTATCACAAACTGAAACATGAACATTTTTTCATTTTTCAACATGGCCACCATAAACATTCAAACACAAGTCAAGTTGTGGCACCAGTTTTTTGTGTTAATGTAGCATCGGAAACTTATCCTGTGATTTTGATGACGACTATTTCCCTTGTCTTAACTTCTACCAATCACAAACGCGCAATTTTGAATTACAAATGGTTTCTAGATGGAAAAATTATATAACAGTACCTGTCAGCATTTTTTTCCAGTTTACCCGCGGCAAAGCTTGACACCAAAAATTACAACACCTATGATAACAAGTAATTATGGTCTCATAGGACCCCAGAAAACGACGCTAAGCAATTTTTCTGATTTTATTGTCAATAAATTTTGTAATATTTATATTTGTAAACAGTGCTAGTCAGCTTATGTAGTGAAAATGAGTCGCTTTGGAAGTGATTCTTTGACTAATATTGATCTGGCGATTGGGAAAAGTGTACCGTACACTGCCGTTAAAACCCATACGTCAATATGGAAACAGTTTACGGAATTCTGCACGGCAAAGAAATACGACCTTTTCGAAACTACAAGTTTAGAGGAACTACACCTAATCCTGAAAAATTACAAATAACTAGTTGGGAAGAAAATGTGGAATACCGTTGCCAAAAAATGCAAGAGATGTATTTTATGAAGTGGAAAATAATGTTAGATCTATTTAAAGATATCTTTGTCTAGTAGGGAAGCTCATAATGCAAAACGAAGGAATTTGCAGGTACTTTAAAAATACTTTAATAGGTAGTATGTTTTGTAAGCTATGTGTATGCAGAATAATCTGTTACTCATGAAATAGTCTTGTCAAATACCACTCGGGCATCTAATTCTTTCCTATGAAAAAAATCGAAAAATCAATGCAGAGTAATATTTGTTTAACACAAACGTTCGTGCAACTGCAAAAATCCTCATCTTCGACTCGGATTTTTGTTGCCACCAGCTCTCGTGCTTCTTTTTGAAATATTACTAAGCAACGTGTTTGACATCTGTCTATGCTCTCAGAAACATAAAGGTTGGTGAAAGCTTCTATGGTGCCGCTGCTTTTTGCAATAGGTTTCGGAACTTACCCTTCCTGACAAGCTTGACTTATCGGGTAAGACGTCAGTGAAACATGAAGAATAAATAAGTTCAAGATTATGTGGAAAATACCTTTTCTTTGATTTATTTATAAACTCTATTGATGTTTATTCTGCATGTAATCACCTTCAAGAGCATGAAGAATGTAATTCAACAATGTACAGTGAATATAATTATTTCTTATTTGTCTCATTTTAGAAATTCAGCAAATTTGTGTATATGTAATTTCCAAAATGGATAAGAAAAAGTGGATGCGCAACTAATTTCTAGCTTTGAATCTCAATTAAGTGTATTTGAGACAAGAATCCAATGTAATTATCATCAACACATACAACTTACAGCTTAGACCTCCAGTAATGCAATCTCAGCAGCAGATTTTACATCACATCAGAGCCAAAGATTGATAACAAGCCTTATGACGTTTAGGCAACACGTGCAACTAAGTGCTAAGTTAACATCTTGTAGAATAGACATTGTGTCAAAAAAATCGGCATAATGTCATTTTTCAAGATACGTGATACCTGTGCTGGTCTGGTAGTTTGGTTGGTGTTGATCAGGTGTAATGATTAGGTATGCTTTTTCAAAGATCTTGTCTCTGTCTTTGGTGATGGTTTACTTGCAGCCATTTGAGAATATGGGATATTTCTAGTGTGCTGATAATAGTGTCCTTTTCTATGGCCATGGTGGCTAATATTAGATCGTAGTGCTCTTGGATCCTACGATTTTCGTTAAACAATTGATGAACTAGCCTATCTTTTTCAGCTAGTAAGGCCCGTATCGTCAGTCGACTCTACAATTGTAGGGCGCGTTTATGGCCTCCTTGATTGTCATACTGCTTTCTCTCCTTCAAAAATTTCTAGATTACACTTGTCCCGTGTCAGCGTCAGCGCTCTCCTATTGTGAAGATATGTTTTCTTTTTAAATTGTAGGAAATTTCAGGCTGATAAAACATGATATAGCTAACAATCAAGGAGCCCATAAACGCGCCCTACAATTGTAGGGATGACTGACGATACGGGCCTTATTCATTCAGGAGTTCAATTTTCTCATTAAGTGTCTTAATTTCGTGTTTAACTGCTGTTTCCGTTTGTCTGTTAAGTTTTTGTGGTTAAATGTTAAATTTCGTGAAGCTTATTAAGAAGCCTTTTTGTGATTGCTCAAAATGCCTAGAGTTCGTAGAATTTGCCGGGTGTCCCTGCTAAGTGACAGAGGAGTCAAATTGTCGGGTTGCGTGAAGCCGCCGGTCTATCGATAAGAGAAGTTTCTAGGAGGACCAACAGATTCTTCCGCAGTATACTGCAGTGTGAACGAGCATCGACCGTCGACTCGGGAAGGCAGAGGGCAGCGAGAGAGGGGTTCTGGATGTCCCAGAGGGACCACAGAGCGACAAGACCGCCGGACTTCTGGCTCTGAGAGACAGATTCAGTAGTACACAGGCCATCGCTAATCAGTGGTTTCAAGAGCATGGAAGGATGGTTGGTATGCGTACGGTATATTGCCGAATACGACAGTTTGCCCTTTTTTCTTATTGAACACATTGGGTGCTAACTCTTACAGCTGAACATAGGCTTAACCGTTTGCTCTGGTGATGAGAATGAATTCTATGGGACCGGGAATGGAATCAGATGGTCTTTAGTGACGAATCCCGCTTCTGTCTGGGGATGCACGATGGTCGGACAAGAGTGAGAAGGCGACGTGGTGAAAGGCGTAACACACAGTTTAACAGAGTGCGTTACGTTCACCATACCATGGGAGTTATGGTATGGGGTGCTATTGCTTATGGTAGCAGATCACCACTAATTTTCATCAGAGGCAATATTCATATAGTTAAATTTTCGTGCATTTTAGTGTTTATATTTGAAATTTACAAGTATTTCTGCAAGTTAGATGCAAATAAAACTTACGCAAGCGCTACATGCTAGTGTAAAGTCCCCTTTATTCAGAACCTTTTTAACTACCAAAAGTTTTTTTTTTTAGTTTTCCTATCTGACAGTATCACGAAGCGACCCGATGATTACTTTGACCGGGAGCAGACGTTCGGAGTGACAAGAGCCTGAATGTGCCATGTGGCGAACTTTGGACTCATGCAATCCGTCAGCGCTCTCTCACACGATGTGGCGAATGACCATGCGTCCAACGTTGTAAGGCATTCGCCACATCGTGTGGGGGCGGCTTAAATCTATATGCTTTGTGAATGGGCACTCGAGAAATGGTTCTCTCCATTTGCTTGTAGTATGTTTATCTTTTCCTTTAGCCATCTGTGTTTAGTGTTCATTTGTGACGTGAATGTCGCTACCGTCAACTTGTCAATGTCAACATCGCCAACCTGCCATACTGACGTGTCTAAATTCAAAAATATGTTCATATTTTTCTTGGAAGATAAATGTATTTTGTAATTTGAGCAACATGAACGTGTTTATTCTTTTAGTGTTCTTTATAAAATTATATCCAATCGATTCACAGAAAGTTGCTCCAGGTGTACCGCCACAACATTATCAGGTAAGTTTTTAATTTTTACTATACTATTTATAGTCAAATGATAAAATTTAAATGAAAACGATAAAATCATACATTGTTTTGCTAGCGTAACATCTACTAAGAATATTTAAACCAAGGTTCGGCTCCTGAATAGTCATGCTGCATGCGAGTATATCATTGTTTGGGTTAGAGCTCCAACAGCTGGCCCAAGAAGTATTTACAGGTTTGGAGTCTTTTGATGGCTTAATATGGTTCTCAGAGGTAGTCAGTTATAAAATAATGAGGTAGCCAATATATGGTTCAGATTTTTAAACACATTGGTATTTTGATGAAACCTAGGTAACAACAATATTTCCACATTGGATCTTTCTGAATATCTGTATAGTCAAATATGAGCTCTTAAGATCTGATTCACAAGAGTTTCAGAATAAGAAAATCTAGTAATTCTGTTGAGATTTACTAAAAATCAGTATGAATGGAAGCAAAACCACATTTATAAATTTATAAGGGTTTTTATGTCATTCTGTAAAATCTGCTTCTAAATATATCAGTTTTAGTCAAAACAACAATGAATTGGTATTTATAAGATGTGATAAGGTACCAAAGATAAGATGATCTTTGGGTGACATTGATTACTGAACATTGTTCAATATGTTATACATATAGTATGAGCCATAATTATCTACAATATTAGCAGTCAGAATTCTCTATATACCTAAATTTTTTGTCTAGCTAGTCACATAATAGTGTTATACATTTAATCAAATAATCAATCACTTACTTCTAACTTTTTATTTCTTACACAAATTCTGCCTATTTGGTACAAATGCAAGTTTAGAATTGATAATTAGGCACAGAATCAGAATTTTGGAAATAAGCCCTAGGCATGTGATAAGCTCATACAATTTTGTCTCCTTCAAACTTGATTCTTTGTATTATGTCAAAAATGCCTTTAGCATCATTTAAAAATTAGAGGTATGGCATTTTGAAATTTAATCATGATGTTGTTATAGGAATAAATGATGTATACCTTATTTTCAAACCTCATTCACTCCATGTCAAAACAAACTTGAGCAGTTGATCATCTCTTCTGTTTGCTTGTCACTGCTTGCCGAGCCATTAATAGCCTGATGCCCAATAAGAGCATGTCAATTTGAACAATGTCTGCTGATGTTTGTTTTTATAGATAGTAAGTTAGATTTGAATACAATGTAGAGGACATGTGTTATAACTGATCAAAAGTTATTAATACCAAATTAAATCGTTACTAGACTGTCTTGTTATAGCAGCAGTACCAGGCACCCCCACCACAACAACAGCAATATGCTTCACAGTACCAGCAACCACCTCAACAACAGGTGCCTATGCAACAACAAGTTCCAGTGCAACAACAAGTTCCTGTGCAACAACAAGTTCCTGTGCAACAGCAGGTCCCTATGCAACAGCATCCAGCAGGTGGTCATGTGCATGGACATGGTCATGATCATGGACAGAGGATTCTGGGTGGGAATGTGCAACAGGAGGCACAGTGAGTTCGCTTTTGGGATAACAAATATACAAAAAGAGTCTTTGGATAAGATCTGTACTTGGTCCTTTGGCTTACACAATCAATACTCTCGACTTGCATACTGTTTTAGAAAACAGACTTATGCGGATGACACCCAACTGACATTCACTTTGTCTCAACTAACCTTGATCAACTATCATATAAAGTTAATTTAGACCTGGTGAACATAAGTAACTTTTGCAAGGTTAACTGCTTGAGACTTGATCCTACCTAGAGTTTTGCAATGTTATTCTGTTGTAAAACCAAGATTACCAATAAAGTCACTTTATTATTATTATTTGTATATTAGTTAGTGAGATTCAATATAAACAGAAATGTCGAGATACAGAATAATAGAAATTAATAAAATATCTACAGACATGTGTCAAATTCAAAAGAATTCACGATTCACGTATGAGTGGAAGGTAAACTGCGATGAGGAAACTAAATAGAATTTCATTTATTCAAGTAGAAAAAATACCATAAATCCTATATTTAATATTTTTGACAAACCTTGATCTAGACCTTTTCAATCTAGCTTACAGAGTTTATAACTTTAGTATATAAGTGCCTGGCCAAATTTCGAGAGGTGATTTCTGATTCTTTGAGCAATTCTAAGAACAGTTCATATGAACATAGGTCCAGTATTGTAATTTCAAAATGTGTTAAACCTTTTTTGAAAAGTCATAATATCCGAAAATCTAGATTTGTTCGATTAAAAAAAAAATGCCAACAGAAACCAAATGCCTTAAAGGGAAAATTTAACGGGGTTAGATCCTGCGATCCAGATCGCTATGTCAATTTGTGGTTTCAATAATGTTTTTTTCTGTTTTTACTTATGATTGAAATTGACTTTTTGGCGATGCATCTGTTGCTGATAAATTTCAACAGTGTTTATCAAAACCGTATGTTCTCAACAAAAAAAGACAAATAATGTGTGTAATCGAGTATCTCAAAAACAAGGCATCATTGGGCCTCTGTGTAGGAACTCTCTTTTTTAAAATCACACAAGGAATCACTTCTTGAAGTTTGGCCAAGAACTTCAATCACCCTGATTTTCTACTTGGTTGCAGGCATATTAAAGAGCACTTGGAGGTGCCAATAGATACGAGCAAAATGTCTGACCAAGAATTACAATTTCACTATTTCAAAATGCATGATGCTGATAACAACAACAAACTTGACGGCTGTGAATTGATAAAGTCTCTTATCCACTGGCATGGTGAGTATTTTTTAATTTTAATGGTGAAGGAACTTGTATATATATGATGTATTGCTGTGATAAGGTACAAGCACTGTTGTTTTTTTAAACCATGTCATTGACATTTCCTGAGTTTCATATTATTTTCTGATCATGTTTCCCAGTGTGTTTTTCCAAATACTCAGCTATAGACTAAACAGAAATAATCATTAGCATCAATATTTTTTCACTTTGCTCTCATGCTTATTTCCATTGGCTATCCTTCTCTCTACACCTGATTTGGTTCATCCTGACATCACAGTATTGTTTTATGTATTTCATGTTTGTCAAATGAGTTAATCATTCATCCCAGATTTAATGTTTTCACTGTAATACATCAAATACTCGTGTAACGTGGTGTGGTTTGTGTGAAGTAATCCATTGTTTTGGCTTTTTGTTGCGTCCGCTAACTAAAGCAGAACAAGGCAGCAAAGACAAACCTGGCAATGTCGATGAAAAAATCTTCAAAGACGAAGAGCTAGTGAATCTGATCGACCCGATTTTGAACGTGGACGATCACAATAGAGACGGCTACATCGACTATCCTGAGTTTGTAAGAGCTCAGCAGAAAGCGGCAGCTGCTCAGCAGCAAGGCAGGCAGTAAGGGAGCTAAAAGGGGCACACCTTTGGATATCAAAAGCCCAAAATACATATCATGGTTCAGTTTTAAAAATGAATTAATGATTGGTGAAAAAAACTCAGTGAAGATTTTGTAAGCTGCATTGCTATACAAGGCCACAAGGCAAAATATATTGCGAACCCAACAGTATATTCTGCCATCTATGTAGCATACTGACAACGTATGATCGGTCGCTTTTATTCGTCCTAATAATTTATATTCATAGGGTCATGCTCATCAATATTGATATATGAAATTTGAAATAATGAGTACTTTTTTCATTATTTTGACATTTCTCTGGTTATCTGGGTAATCAGGCATGCATTTAACTTCTAGACAAAACTTCCTACACCCGTTTTGTGGAGACTATTGGTATCCAAAGGTGGGTTAGAAGTGTGAAAGATTTTTTGTTTGGCGAATGACAACATTAAGATTGCTCAATGAACAAATATATCTAAAAAAAAATTTTTTGTGATACAATGATATACAGGTAATTTTTCAAAAAAAAAAAGAAAACGTTCGCCTCATGAAAAGTTTTGGAATGCAAAATGCTTTATGTTGGAGTGATGTTGATTTTTGAGGTGGACTTCATGAATCTGAATGATCGAGGTAAAGGATTGTTAGAAGTAGATCTTCCATTTGTCTGTAGTATATTCATAAAGTTCATTAGAATCGATCATAAAGCTTTGTGAAATACATCCTCAAACTTTTGTAAGTTTCAACTAATACAGGGCCAAAAAAGCTGTTTTATTCAGGAAATATATTCATGTTCAGTGAAGTATAAGTGAAAAATCATTTTTACATTCCGTGTCGATCGACAAATTTAGATATTGATTTATTTTTTTTGTTGCGGTTATTTACGGTGTGTGTCACTTATATGTTGGTTTATGCTTACAAAAATTGGATTAGAATATAAATAATTCATGTTTTGCTTTGTTAAAAACAAACTAGAACAAATTAGAATAGCGTTTTTGGACGTCATATTCTTTAGCAGCAGCATATTCTATAATTGATAAACGTACATGGTTTAAATTCTTCCATTGGAAATATATAGGGTGATCAAGAAATACGTGCAATATTTCTAGTGCGGAAAGTATATAAAAAAGCTTCCATACGCATGCGTCGTAAATATTTTTTTACCAAGATACAGGGTGTTGTAAATTTATACGCTACTGATGAGAGTGAACAAGGAGAAGACATTAATATTCTTCAAATAACACTATAGTAATGTAGGATTACTCTCCTTATATACAATTTTCAATATCAGACTTTACTAATTTTAGTTTATTTTCAACGCATAAATGATTGAAGTCTTTTGTACGGATTTAACCCCAAATATTAAAAACATTTTCCCTCCACAAGGGGTAGTCTTACAAACATTTCTCAAGTAAGGCGATTCATATGCATTTCAGTACTTTCTTGAAAAATACAATGATAATTTTGAAAAAGTATGGCTTACAAAATAATTTCTCAATTTCTGTGCTACTGTTGTAGTCTCAGGTACCCAAGTTATTTTTATATGTAATATATAAGGGACCATTTTAGGACCTACATTTATATAATTTTTTTGCGTTACTTTTTGATCTACTTTATGCCCTAGAAATATTACCACGTTTTTATGAATAGCCCCGTGTGCTTTCCGAAAATTAGAATATCGTGTTAAAACAATATTCATTGTTATTTTGATTCACCCTGTATGGTGTGTCGGTCGGATATATTTGCTCTCACCATAAACCTATTTTTATGTAAATACATATAACTCTTGGTCAGTAAAATTACATTTTCAATGGACACATGCTTATGTGTATTTTATATTCATCACATTCCGCTAGCGTTAATAATTCTCGAATCTCATCATTGTAATCGATTCTACTCATATTTTGTATTTTTATAAGATAAATATTTACTTTAAATGATAAATAGAGTGGTGAAACAAATATATTCGATATTTTATGTTTTGTTACATTGATTAAAATTGTTGCTCTGTGTGTAAAGTTTGGAGGTTTTGATTCTCGTATTTATTATCATGTTTCTTTTGGTTTTCGAACAATATTTGTACATTTTTGTACTTGATATTTTTGTAAAAGACTTTAAATACATTCCCTTTTTAGCGAAGTGTTGAGTTTGTTTTAATAGAGGACATGCTTGAAGGCGGATTAGCGCCAATTTTGTTGCTATATGAATATACCACTGTCCTGAAAACTCCCAAGTGTCTTCCTTATAATTCGAGGATTCGATCGAATAATACAATGTGTTGTACAATTTTTACGATAAAATAATGGAAATGCCGTTGACGTCTGGCGATAGTTTAGTGAAACTTTTACAAAAAATTGTAATATTTGGCCATATCATGGAAGATCTCCAACTTATAGCACCTACAATCTGAAAATATCAGAATCGTTAATTTTATTCAAAAGAGCGTATAAAAGCCTCCCTTAATATGACCAATAAATGACTTGTCCGTTTTTGGTGCCACCTCCATGCACAGCACTGATTAAAGTATTCTGATGTCACGTGCCAAAATCACATTTTTTGTACTATTTTGATCACTTACCAGTAATTTGAATTTCTTTATTAGTGGTAGAGTGCCGATTCCTAGGATAAACCCTAAATTTCATAGTTTATTGATGGTATAATTTCACACGTATTATATCTTTCTTTCTCAGCGACTCAGTATTGTGTTGGTGTTGAAATCTTTTTGACACTAATGTTATAGTATTATTAATGACTATCTCAGAAATTTCCTCACAAAATATCGTTGGTCCCTCGTAGAGTTGGTTTTCTAGGGTCCACGTATTGGCAATCAGCAAAACACTGTGACTTTTCTCCGTTATTTGTTTTCCTATTGAACATATTTTTCTCAAGGCCACTCATTTAACTTTCCTTCATAGTTAGGTGTTTCGGTCAGCCACTCCTGCTGATATTGTGGTGTCTGCGTCGTTTGTTCAACTTCCAGATTCTGGGATATTATACCCCATATGGAGTAGTACCCCTTTATTTTGTACCTTACGTTTAGTTGTTTTGGTTTGGATTTTAATCTTCAGCGGTATGTTCCTTTTTTATACCATGAGACCACGTGCATTAATGCGTGTCCTGAAGAAGTTTGTTCAATATCTGCTTCCTTTTAGTGGGAAGGCATTGCGGAGAACCACCGTTCACACTCCTTCAGTTTTATTTTGTAGCTGCCTTGTAGCTGTTTTGCAGCCGATATTGCTGGAAGCCACCCCTTCCCCGACAAAAAATACTGGATTCACGCGTTCCAAAAATTGTCCGATATGAAATGAGATACTGTAGCGCCATCTACAAGAATTTGTCACGTCTATGTTTCTTTTCTCCGCGATAATTAGAAATCTACTTTGAAAATGTTACTTTCTCATAGATTGCGCTACAGCCTAATTATATATGAGCATATAGATACAGTGCCATCTATGAGACAATATCTCATTTCATCCCGGATAGTTATTTGGAAGCGCGAATGCATTATCAGGTCGCTATATCTTCACGTAGAATACGTTAATTAATGATGCAAAGCTATCAAATGAAACCCGCCAGAACAAATCCTCAATCTAGCAGGGCGCTAATTTTAATAAGTAGAGTCATTGGTACCTATCTTCTGAATAATAAGTATTTATAATGAGGAACACTCAGAAATTCATATCAGAAAATGAAAGGGAATATGTAACGAGCGAGTTAGGTGCAATACTCACATTTTGGTATCCTCCACAACAGAGAGGTGTGACCTCGATAAGCTTCTGTGAACTGTTAGGAACCACTGCACAAACTTTGCTGCGACTTATGCAGAGTTACACACACGGAGTGCAAAAAACTTACTTTCTTTAAATGGTATGACCTCTCAATATCGCGAGCATCAAAAGATAAGAGACCTTCAAATCACAACTTACGTGATAATCAGACGTGTTTGAAAAATAATTCTTCAAATTGTTACGCCTTTTGGGACGTCTCGAACATTTTTTTTTTGGAAAACATTAAAATTACATGAATTCTGCTGTAGATAAGTTCAGATAAGCCGATGGTGAAGGTAAAAAATTATAGTTACTTTCGATATGGTTGCAAAACGTAAAATTGTCATCTCACTGAATGTAATATACATATTGAACGGTTCGGATTATTTTTATTTTACAGATGGCGACGGTGGGGAAAATGCAAAAATGTTGACGGATGAACATATCCAGGAGATGGTCGATGCCACCCTTGACACTCTGGATCAGGATAACGATGGATATATCAGTTATAGCGAGTACAAGACTTATGAGACAGAGGGAGCTAAACCTGAAATCTGACATCATACATCCAATGTACGACACTAATTAAAGATATCTTGTTACATTAGAATTATACATGCCCTTGAAAGCTTACTGGCTTACACAAAATTCATGTCTTTGATCTTCATTATTCATGACGGGGAAGCGGAGGTTAACTAACATTTACTTTATCATATAGATGATACCTTTATACCCTGGGTTGATCTTTATCGAAACAGATATCTAGAAACCATGAACAATGATATGGGTCGAAGTACATTAAAATAAGTTTTTTTATAAATGACTGTCTAGGCTAGGTAATACTTAATAGGAACTTTTTAGGATGCAGAGCAATATCAGTCTAATACTAAATATTTTCAAAAATATTTTTTTTGTTAGCGCGTCTCATCACCTGCCAGAAACTGTTCAAACTGTGTGCTATACATATGCGGTTGAGAAATATATCCACTCTATTCTGTTGTATCCAGATGAGATAAGAAGTCCTTTTAAGCGGTTCCAGAATATACTTCTTTATCTCATTTTTTATGATTATATCTTTTATTTGGTGTTCATTTTTATGGTATAAACGCATTTTACATCGATCTGTTGTCATTATTTCTCATCTTATCCCTTCTAGGACTAGGCTGAATCTGATTCTCATACAATGTTCAACATTCTCCAGAACAAGTACGAGGCAGATTAGAGAGAGGAAATAACATTATCTTGATACCAACTGTTTGATATACGCATAATAACAAGGGCGTACCCAGCTTCAAAAAATGTTTGGTGGAAGTTCTACAAATATCATCTACTTTATTATGCTTGATATTTTTCTTTCTGTTTGGATTTCAACATCTTAACCATTCATATCGTTTTCCACGATGCTATGAAAATCCATATGGATCTGAAAAACTGCTAGGATTACTTTTTGACTTATTTCAAATTTTTGGGCGTACATCTCTCTCAAAGTTCATACAAGGAGCGCATTTTTTCAGCAAAGTTAATATGGTAGGAAAGTACTTCAATCACGAAAAAACTTCAAATAAAACAACGTTCTTCAGATATAACACAGTAGGTAAATCTTTTGTGGCGCCTGTCAGGTAATCCTTGGCCGTCGATTAGCCAGAAAAATATTTAGTTTTTGCTTATAGGTCTGGCTGCGATAGAATATTCTTACGAAAAACGGATTAATCATTGGTCCCTCTGTAACGTAAAGTATCACTGGATTTTGAAGAAATTTTGAAAGGTCTGCTTAATACCCGTATTACCACTAAAAAATCTATAACTCCCCCAAACTTCATCTTTTTTTTTGTTTTGATGATCTTGGACACAATCAAACATTTCTTTAGAGAATACAGAATTCAAAACATGTTTGTTGATATAATTTAAGACGACAAGATGTGTGCAATTCGAAAATGTGTGGGGTGGAATTTGAGTATGAAAATCGGGAAACTGCTGTTGCAATATGTTATCTAGAAACGTCACAATACTTATTTGATCAGTATCGAGTAGCCAAAAGTGAACCTTGCAGTAGTTGAAATTGTATAGAAGGATTTTATAGAGGAATTATATATTCTTTAAAATTAATTCAATCATCTCGAAGTGAAAAATTCAAGGTAACTTTTCTATCAAACTTCAAAGTTACAAATCTATAGAAGAATTGTAGGGAATGAATAAACCTTCAAAACGAGAAATAATAGATATATCTGGTTCATTGCATTGGTTAATTGGTTATTGCAAAAAATCGTTTATTTGTTACTGAAAAGGGCATAAAAGTAAATATGATATAGCATCCAAATATGTATATGTATATGTATATATTGTAGTGATTAACATAAAAAAATGAAAATTGCTCAAGCTGTTCAGCGACGTAACGTTTGCAACAAATTAGGCATGCATGGTGAGTTTTCAGTAGGTAATTGGTTAATATCTCCATCACTATAAAAGGTAATTAAAAAAGTTATTTACAAATATTGTATATATATATATACATACAGGGTGGCGCATCGAAAACGAAACAGACGCATTTACTGACAGCTAAGTTTTTTTTTGGAAAAACGCTCAGACCCGTCGATTTTGTTTTCGAGGGGACCTAAGTTTCGCAAAAAAATCATGTTAACACGTGCAGCCCCCTGGGCGGGGTTGACACCAACCCTAAAATCTTAAATGGAAAGGGGGTTCGAGTGATACCTTATTTTAAAGGTCTTTCAATTCCCTTTATAATGATGTAAAATACATGAGCTTCAGTTCAGTAGTTTTGAAGATTTATTGATTTAAAGCTTAAAGTAGACTTTAATAGGTACATCAGATTAGTTTGTACTACTTTCAGAAGAATTTTGACTAAAAGATTTTACTTAATAGGTAAATGCTTTTCTTCACTACGCCCATTTTGTTGTTGAAAATAGCTTTGGAGCGTCTTTTGTGGCAAAAAAGTTATTTCTTGAAGAAAGACAAGGACATATCTCGTACTTATTTTAAATAGGAGTTTAGTAGATACTTTGCGATTGATTCGACCAAACTTTGTTGCTAAAATAACTTGTAATGCTTTATTACATAAATTAACCATGGTATATTCCACAGCAGAAAGAGTTGGAATTATCGAAATATTTTCCTGAAATAATCAGTGCGCTAATAGAACAGCTGAAATATTTTATGAGCGACATGACAACAGTAACGTGCATCGAAAATATGTTCTAGAACTTGTAGCTAAATTTTGGAAAACTGGGTCAGTCGCCAATAAAAAAACGCAACATTGAAAATCCCATAAGGAACGAAGCAATAGAAGTGGAGGTTTTAGTTTATGTAGATCCTACGTTAAGTACCCGCAAATTGGAGGCTGTGTGTGGTGTTAGTAAACGTACTGTCCAACGGATTCTAAAGGCCCATAATTTTCATCCGTATAAAATTCACCTGGTACAAGAACTTAATGACGAATTATAAACGATGAACATTTTCTATTCAACACTTGCTTTTCCGACGAATGTTCCTTT